CCTAACCCCTAACCCCTAACCCCTAACCCCTAACCCCTAACCCTAACCCCTACCCTAACCCTAACCCTAACCCCTAACCCCTAACCCCTAACCCCTACCCCCTAACCCCTAACCCCTAACCCTAACCCTAACCCTAACCCTCCGACGTCACCCAACCCACTTTTATTTACAACTCAAACTAAATTTCAACCCCTTTCCTATCTTATCCTTTCTTCATCCACTTTCTCTCTTCTTGTTCTTCAACAAACAATTTCATTATTCTTTCACCTTCCATTGCATTCACTACTTGACTTCTTCTGCCACATCAACTTCATTGCACCCCCCATGCGGTTCATACTCCCCGGGGTTCACCAACACTCTGTCACCCCTTTCATCAAACTCACTTGTCTTACACCTCTTCTCTTCACACCTGTCATCTGACTTCCATGTCAATGTACTTGCTCCAACTGTTGCAATCATTACCAAAACTACCAATCAATCCTCAATACTGATGCTTCATTCCCATGTCCCATTCCAAATAATTGCTCTGTATGTAAACTTGAGCACTGTTCACTTGTTATCAAATCTCTACCCAATCATATCCTTGCCATTGTTACTCAAATCACACGCTGTCATTGATCTTTATCACCCCTCAAACATATATAACAGCTCTCTATCCCCCTCAATTTACCCCCACCCCTCACCTTCAAAAGCATCTAACCATTACTCAACATGCTCTTCGTCTTTACACACCAAGTTGTTTCACAATTCCCTCCAGTTATCCAAGCCTTCTTCGCACAGCGTCGTATTGACCGTCGTCATGTTGTCCTTTATGATCTACGTTGGGGCCCAAGACCATTCATCCTCCAATTCCATTGGAGTGGTAATCATGCTCATTCAATCATGGAGATTACCCAGCAATGGGTCCGTAGCACGTGAGCTACAACATCCTTCTTTAGAACTCACACACTAATGTTCCATAACAGTGAACATACTGTATTGGAACCCCGCCCTGTTCGAGTTGTTGAGGAAGAGATTGTGGTCTGGTTCATGACTGTTCTGGCAGACTGGAAAACTCTGGCTATTGAAGCTGGGCTGGGAGATGAATTGGAAGAGTGGGAGGTTGCTCAGATGTTACTTGGTGATATGTAATACCTATCTGTTTCACAAGTCAAAACACTTGTAAATGCCACAACATGCTTAGTCAGCGTGGTCATCTCGGGCACCTTCACTAACTGGTTCATGGCTGGAGAAATATTGGAAAAAAAAGAATCCACCTCTAAAACTTTACGTATAGAATTGAACCAAAACCTATACGTAAAAAGTTTGTGTATAGAAAGTACGTCCAGTCGTCGACACACAAGTTGTATCTGTTGCAGCACTAATACACTCCACTACTTCAAACACCTGTATTCCACTCTTATAAGAAGCTATTTTGGAGCCCCAGTCTAAGCCATTACCAATACCTTTCCATCAGGTATGCAGTAGTTACAAGTGCATCAGTACCTTCAACAGCATGTCCAAGTTCTCATTGTGCAGGAGGGGGCTCCTCAGAACTTATCCAAGTGTGCACTCCGAGTTTTGGCTCCACCGAGGTGTGGCTGTGCCTAAGTTCCCACGCTACCCGCCAATGAAGAAAAAAATGAAAATGAAGAGGCGGGTCCCAGGATCATAAATCTTCAAGAATTTCCTTATAAGGTCAAAAAATGCGCCCTCTATGAGTCTTTCAAGGCAGAATGTCCATACATGGCAGAAACTGCAGGAATTACTTGAAATAGCAATAAAGCGCTGGGCCACCCTAATAAGGCATAAAAACAAGCGCCCTACCATAATGAGCAATAAGCGTCTGACTGCCTAAAAGGGCAATAAATGACTCTGAAAAGCGCCCCAGAGGAAAACTCGGAGCGGCGCACTAAAAACGGAAATTAGTTCCCACGCTTCACGGAAAATATCGAAAATTGAAAATGAAGAGCGGAGAGAGGCGAGGTGAAGCACGTGACTGCGACGTTGTGCGCCGAAGTATTCACGCTGCTATAAGCAAAACAAAATAACAAGTAACAAACTAGTATTGCAACTTGCGGGTCAACCAGTGCTCCAATTTCAATGATACTGGTGGGTGACCCTAGGTTTTTTTGTACTGCGAGTCTAATGGTGACAAGTGCGTGACCAGAATCGGAGTATATTCTCCACTAATGTAAAGATGTCTCTCAATGTACATAGTGTTGAGCTTGCTATACACAGTGATGTATAGCACAGCAATGGGAAAGGAGCTTTCCATGGCCCACTGTGTAGAGCAGCGTGTTGAGCTCCCTGTGTACAGTGTTCAGCTATCTGTATACAGTGTTGAGCTCCCTGTGTACAGTGCTGAGCACTTGAGTTGATGTGCAAAGCTATGTCAGAAGGCTATAAAAGTGCGCTTTTTTGGACCCCCGTGGGAAAAACTTGGTCAAGAATCGAACAAGCCAAAAATTTTACGTATGGAATTTTCAAAATTCTGTACGTAAAATCTCAGAGACGTTTACGTATAGAATCACTTTCAATTCTATACGTAAAATGGACATCTGGGCTGACAGTGGACAGTATTGAGCTCACTGTCTATGACGACGTCGAGCTCACTGTCTACGACGATGACGACGAGCTCACTGTCTATGACGATGTCGAGCTCACTGTCTATGATGATGACGATGAGCTCACTGTCTATGACGATGACAATGAGCTCACTGTCTATGACGATGACAATGAGCTCACTGTCTATGACGATGACAATGAGCTCACTGTCTACGACGACGTCAAGCTCACTGTGTACAACAGCAATGACAAGCTCACTGTCTATGACGACGTCGAGCTCACTGTCTACAACAGCGATGACAAGCTCACTGTGTCTGACAACGTTGAGCTCACAGTCTACGACGATGACAACAAGCTCACTGTCTATGACAATATCGAGCTCACTGTTTACAATGATGACAATGAGCTCACTGTCTATGATGACGTCGAGCTCACTGTCTACAACAGCGATGACAAGCTCACTGTGTCTGACAACGTCGAGCTCACTGTCTACAACGATGACAACAAACTCACTGTCTATGACAACATCGAGCTCACTGTCTACAACAGCAACAACAAGCTCACTGTGTCTGACAATGTTGAGTTCACTGTGGGAGATGATGACCAGCTCATTGCATACAGTGTTGAGCTCACTGTGGAGGACAATGACTAGCTCACTGTCCAAGACAATGACCAGCTCATTGTATACAGTGCTGAGCTCACTGTGTAGGACAGCATAGAGCTTGTTGTGGACAGCATTGAGGTCACTGTCTGAGACAACATTGAGGACACTGTATACAGTGTTGAGCTCACTGTGTATGGCAATGAGCAGCAGCATTGAGCACAGTGTGGAGGTCACTGTGGGCAACAGTAGTGGTGAGCTCACTGTGTAGAGTGATGAGAGGGTGTTGTGCTCACTGTGTAGAGTATCTACTCACTGTAGGTCCACTGTGTAGAGTGTTCTACTCACTACGTAGGCCAGTATGGGTGCAAAGGAACTAGACCGGTAATAGAGGTGTAATATAGATAGGAGGGGTCACTGATGTGCATGATCCGCAAGATATATGGGATCGCGCGGGGCATCAGAGAACCTGAGAGGAAGGTAATAGGGACCCCGGTACGGACAAGGTGATGGATAAGTTCAAAGCAGTGACGGAAGTTTGTATCTGTGTGTATTTTATGAGCCTCGTCAAAAAAAACTCGTCGGAGTCGAGATTTGATAGGGTCATTCTGGATATATCGGAGGAACCGTTGTCCAGCGCAATGATCGACAGAGGCAAGGACCAGTTGAACAGATTCCCACTTCATTGGCTCGTCTGGTTTCCAGACACCACCAGACACACCGGTTTCACGGAGACGACGCTCGAGGTCAGCAGTAAGCGCTTTCAGAGGACTAACGACGATGAATAATGATTGAGGAAGAAGGTGAGGGGCTGCAAAAAAAGCCATACTCTTTCCCCCGCCAGTTTCTATAATTCCGAAAACATGGAGAGAGCTACCGACGCTCTGAATCAATTCAGCCTGTTCGGGACTGGTAAATCCATCAAAATTACGTCCTAGAGCTCGTCTGAGGGCAAAAAGAGTGCTGGGATGGACTGGTGTACGACGAGGGTTGGAGAAATTAGGGGTCTGGTGAATGTGAATGAGATTTTCACGAATCTCCGTATACCCATACTCCATCTTCTTGCAAAGAATTTCATTGAAATGGTCCATCTTGATGGTTACAGCTGTCTGCAGTGCTTCCCTCGTCTTTTTCAATTCAGAGGTCAGGACTGCCTTTGTGACTGGTGGACCGGATACTGAAATTAGCTGGAGTTGGGTGATGATTAGAACTTTGTTAGGGAAAAAAACAGAATCCGTTACCTGGAGTTCTTCATTGACTGATTTGACCAGGAGAGGGTGTAAGAGTCCAATAAAGGCATGCCAGTTTCGAGAAACCTTTTGCATGCGAGCTATAGAATCTGCAGCAAGTCGGGTAAGGGCCTGGTTGCCTTCTAATCCGTAGTGATCATGGGCAACATTAACGGAATGTCCAAATTGTGCATGGGTTGCAACAATCTCAGGGTCTACATCCTCTGGTTCATCTAGAGTAGTCTGGGTCGCGTGGACCAATAGGGTGCTGTTGTACTGGCGAAAATCGGCAATTTGGAGCATGCACCCAATTTTGGCAAATGTCCAACGACCAAGGATGAGCGAAAGTCGGGCTGATTGCAGAGAGGACCCAGTGTGGACGAATACCTCATATAGGTATCTCTGACAGTTCAATTTTGCCATGCCAATGCAGCATGCAAGGTTAGCTGCTGCCCAATATGGGAGGGCAAGAACAAGGATGAGCAGGCGTGATACCCGATATGCAGGTGTCCGTATGATGCCAATACCATGTCCTTTAATGTGCTGGGTCTTGGAGTAGGCAGTAAAGAATGAAGGAAGCCCATTTAGGATGAAAAAATTCCTGGTATTTCGTGGATGGTTGGCATAGAGCGCTCCAGCGATTTCAGTGGCTCGAGGGCTTCCGCCCCAAGTGGAGTGTAAAAGAGTCCACAAGTCAGAGACAATGCTGTCAAGTTCTGCGAACCAAGTGAGAATTCCTCCTAGAAGGGGGACGTTTAATGAAACTGAGTGCTGCCTGGGAGGTTTAGGACATACCAGGTTTTGGAGGTCCGTCCGCATGAAAAAAATGTGCTTGCTGCTTGAGGTGGTTGAGCAGCCGGGGCCGGAGCTCAGAAAATCCATTTCGAGGTTCCTCAAAGAACGAGTATCTACATCGCAACTCCGTGGGGTGATCCAGAAACCACTTGGGTATACTAGGTGTTGGATCTAACGCGTTGTCAATGTGTAACAGGACATCATCGTATAGACATCCCCTAAACAGTGTCTCTATCTTTTTTTCTACAGAGACAATGGTCTGGTGGATCCCTTCAATAAAAAGGTGAGTTGGGATGGGAAATCCGTCAAATGTGAGGATAGTTTTTTCGATATTCCAATTGAATCGTGAGAGACGAGGCTGAGAGAGTGCAAGGGTGGTGAAGAACTTTTGATGTTGTCGCAGGGTTGTAAATATCGTATTTTGGCCGTCGGTTAAGAATGGACGAATTTCCTTTTCGTAACCCCTATGGAATAGGTTAATAATACTGTGCCACAACATATGTGGGAAATGACTATACGTTTGTTGATCATAACCAAATGTAGCTACGACCTGGATTAGCTGGAGGGCAGCAGTTGCTCGAAGACACCATTGGATAGCTGATATGATGGGGGGTATGCTATGTGGCTCCATGAATCTACCCTCTTCGCGAATGCAAACGGCAATGAGAAAACGGGTGAAGGGACACATGGTATCATTTCTTATAAATTCTGGGCTTGGCTTGCACAATACGAACCAGACCACCTGGTGAACAGTGATAATAAGATCAGCGTCGCTGTCGTTGTCGTTCTTGAGCTTCTGGGATAATATATTAAGCGACGCAGTGAGCTCAGGATGACAAGGGACAGGAAAATGGGGGATGGGGTAGTCTTTAGAGTGAATGAGGAAGGCAATGAAACGGGCCAGGGTGTTGGAGTATCTGGAAACGGTTGTCGGGTCCTGCGGCATTTTGAATGGTTTACTTTCAACCATGTGGCTTCAGCGCGAAAAAAAACAAGTCAGCAAAGGCCTGGGGGGGGGATCAATGACACATACCTGGGCTCTGGCGATACCAGATAGCGCCGAGTGATTATCCGGATGGTCGGAAGTGACTTGGTCCCGATTTCCTTGTAATATTGATTACAAAGCGGCTGCAGTCTAAGTAGATGACTGTCTACTGTGGGCTGGCGTTCAATGAGTGCGTTTCGGGTGAGGTGCTCCCAGTTGACACCCTCCAGCAAATTTCCCCATTCCGAATGATAGAGTGTAGCGTTTTGGTGACGTGGGTCCCCGGTGGTGCGAGAATAGACAGCAGGGTGAGTATACAAGTCGGCATTTTCTACCGAGACCTGGATATACTGGTCCACCAAATTAGGGTGCGGTTCCACCTTCCGAAGGACTTCAATATACCTAAGCGTCTTTTTCGATGGCGTCAACGGAAAGCACAGTACGGAGGTGGACTTCCGATCTTTGTGGGCTACAAATGGATGTCTGTCCCTATAATGTTTGTTTAACTGGTTCAGACCCCCTAATATCGTAAGGCATTCCATGCATTTGGGTTTCGAAAGAAGGTTGACCCCTGGAAGAGCGTGAATAGGTCGATCGGGAAGTGGAAGTGGGCAGTCAGCATGGAGTTCGCGAAGCTTGCTCAGCAACTCCTCAGCAGGTGGGAGGCGCAACTCTGGCGGCAATTTCAGACCACGATAATGATTTCGCAGGTGAGATAGAGCAGTTTCGAAGGGGACAGGTAGCGCGCACGACAGGCAGATTGTCAAACAATACATTGGTTCAACAGCAAGACTGTATCGAGCAAGATAGGTACGTGCATCCTTGTCAGGTTCAAGGGCGACAGGCTCTTCAAATAGAACTCCTCGAAGGTCCTCGTCGTTGTCGTCCTCGTTGTCGCTAACATCAGGTGACTCCTCTTCTGGTATTTCAGTTTCCCCATCAGACTGTGAAAATGATGCGTCCTTTTGTTCTTCTTCTTCTTCTTCTGCCTCATCTACTTCCTCTGGCTCAGGATTTGTATTTAGCACGTCAATGAAAGAGAGGATTTCTGCTGGAGGTTGGGGTTGTATGGATGGTGTGAAATCAATTTGCATTGAGATCGAGTGTTGCTCTTCCATTTCGACATCTTCTTGGTCGATACTGCTACTGGAAAAGGAGAGCTCCTGCTCGAGTTCATCAAGCATTTCAACATCTTCACAGGTATCTGGTGGTACGAAGCCAGTCGGCATATGAACCATCCGGGGCGGAGAGAGAAGACCTAGCGCATTTAACTTGGATGAATATATGCTGAAGATCGCATAGAGAAACACGCCCACCTGGGATAGGAATATCGTTGTAAGCGTCAGAAAACCGGGGAGGATGAACAGACTGCCTTGCCATTTTCCGGATGAGTGTGAGGTCGTAGCGCTGATGCTGCACGTATTCACAAACACAAGGTAACTTTCCATTCTCGAGTCGGTGGATTTGGACATGCTGCCCAGTGGCTGAAGGGGGATTAGTGGTTGAGAAGAATATCCAAGCCATTCCACCTTACATGAATTCAGTATGTTGTGACTTTTGGAGTGGAAATTGGCGAGGTGGGTTTTAAGGCTTTTCTGCGTTACATCGGATGAGTACACGCAGCCTGGTTCACTGCATGACATGGCCCAATTTAGAATTGATGGTGGAATTGAAAAGATACCGTCATTAGGTTTTCACAAAAAAAGAATGACATCACGTTATTCCCACAAGCTTAGTCATCTGCAGTTGACGTTATTGTAGACTGATTATAGAGAGTGGAATGAACGTGATTTATTATACAAGAGTAAGAATGTAACGAGTATCAGCAGGAGGCAGCGGTGGTGCATATGTGTATTCGAGTTTCTTGTCTCGCCAAGACTCCACCCATTGAGTAACATTATCCCCCTTGACCGATCTGGGCCAGCTTTTCTGGAAGGTGGGATCTCCTTTGAACTCGTTCTCGATGGCTGCTTTGATAGCAGATGCTGTGATGAGGTGATGCTCTCCTTCAATGCCCAAACACTCCATGTCGATTTTGTGAACCACAAGGGTGCGAGCAATTGCTGAGAGCCACATGTCACTATAGTCTTTAATGTTCATCTGTTCAACCTTGCCGCTTGTGTGGCAGAGTGTAATTTTGACATTATGTATGAGCCAGTCACGTACACGATTCACGTCGACCTTCGCAGCTTGGTAGTATGAAAGGTCGTTCTTGGGGATATGGTGTTCATCATCCAAAATCTCCAGTTCGAGCGCTCCCATGTACTGACGGTAGTCGAGGACGGTCCCGAGTTGAATGATGTTGTACAGCATCAAGAAGCCCTGAACATCATCCATAAGAGTGAAGTTGGGAAGGTGAGGTATGATATGGGTTCCTAAGAAAATCAGGGGCTTTGAGAGAGAGAATGGTTGCTACCGTTGGGAGGACCTACCATCTTCTTTCAATTCAGATCCAGCCCGTTCAATTAACTCTCGGTACGAAGCTCCATCATCACAAATATTCACGTCAAAAAATTTCGCGAGGTATTGAAAGCTCCGAGGGGCTTCCTTGTGTCGGGTGTTGGTCAAAAGGCTAGATGCCACAAGGGTGTGGAATAGCGCATAGCCTGTGGAGCAAAGTGTCTGCATGTTGTACATGTGACCCCCCAGGGTGACTGAAGGTTCCAGAGTTACCACATAGTGGGGTGAACAGGGACCCATGATACTGTGTAATTTGAGATTCCTATCCTGATAACTTTTACAACAGACTCACAGGGTATCTCCTCGTCCAAGGAGAAAGGCCACGGTTTTCCACTGCTGTGAATTCCCAAGGCTGGTGGTGAAATCTGAGGAAAATGCAGACGTCTTCCCCATGTCGTGGATGGAGTTGGGAATCGCGACAATCCACAGCTTCTGACCATTCTTGGGCGTGACATATGTCGCAGCACCGACAGTGTCAATGTGAGCTTTGTGTAAAGCCCATTTCGTGGCGGCTAACCCCCACCTTTTCCAAGCGATGTTAGCAGCTTCACCTTGCTCTGCCTCTGAATCTGTAGCTAATCCACTGGGGGGAGGAATTTTGTCAGGGGAGACCATATTGTCGAGGAAGTTCAAAATTTTGCCGTCGGGTGTATTGACAGCTTGTAACAGTTGGCGGTAGGTACCGCTTCGATGAACCGGGTGAGTCCGTTCAAGGGGGTCTTGGTCGTTTTCCATTGCATCAGCCTCATCTTCGCAAGAGGCGTCTGGAAGATGATTAATTGAAGGAAGAATTAATGCTTGGAAAGGCCTACCATGAAGTATACGAGGGACGTGGAGGGGACCGAGATTTTCCCTGATGGATGTTTCTCCGAAAGTCCCAGGACTAGTGTTCTTGCCCGAGCGAAGAACGAGAAGGTGTTTGGAAAATAGATATTGCTTTCTGGCAGTGGTATACTTTCCGTCGTCCTCCCATTCTTCGAGGGGTATTTCGAGCACTCTGTCAGAGGGTGAAGGGGACCATGCTGGATTTGGAGATCCATCGGGCAAAATCCTCCCGTCAGCTACAGCGCACTCCTTTACTCGTGCCCAAACCTCATAGATGCTTGTGAGGTTGAGCTGGGACTATGCAAATCTTTAATTATAACAGAAGTCAAGAAGAGTGGAAACCCTACAAAAGCCCGGGGGGAAACATTGAGGGAAGTTCGATAACTGTAATCGAAGAATTCGATTGGATCTCCCTTCAACAGCTTGGGGAAGGCTTAGTGAGTATAGGTGTATAATAAGTAAGCAGAGGAAGAGATAGGTACCTGCTTGTTCGTAATGGGGTCGAAAGGGGGCGCCATTGTCCTGTCCTCTGGCTGATCTGGAGCCGGCTTTACGCTTTGAGACAGGGTGGAGTTGCGTTTATGTCTGCGGAAGGACGGACTCGCTGTTGTGATTTTGTAGTTCACTGTGGAGGCACGTTTGCGGAGGTTTGGAGCTGCAACTGAAGCGCCATCAGGCTTGGCGGAGATTGCTATGGTAATTTTTTTTAGAAAGGGGGTTACGCATGAGATAAGTGTTGAGCAAATACATGAATCCATATCTACATCCATTTCGTCTGACTCTGGCAGTTGCCTTGTTTGGCTCTCAACGTTGTCCTCGAATTTGTTCTTGACTTGGCTTATTTCTTTACCCTTGCCCTTGTGCTCGGTTTTGTCCTCCTGGTTGTCGTTATCAAGGACGAGTGGCTCTTCTAGGTTCTTCAACCCCTCTTCTTGCTTTAAAAGACGGGGGCGTGTTGCGAGTGTCGAGTCCTTCTCCTCGTGCTCAGGCTTCTCTTCCTCCTCCTGTCTTGAAGGACGGGGATGTTTTGCAGTGGGGTCCTCTTCCTCCACTTCATCTTCTTCGTCATCTTCGTCCTCTCTCTCTTGTATTGAAGGATGATGGTTACGTTTTGCAGGGGTGGGGTCCTCTTCCTCCACTTCGTCTTCGTCGTCTTCGTCGTCTTCGTCGTCTTCTTCGTCTTCGTCGTCTTCTTCGTCTTCTTTGTCCTCTCTCTCTTGTCTTGAAGGACGACGGTGACGTTTTGCGGGTGTATAATCATCTTTGTCCTCATCGTCCCCGTCCTCATCCTCTTCCTCGTGTATTGGAGGACGAAAATGTATTGAAGGACGGGGACGTTCCGAAGGGGGGAGATCCTGCTCGTCCTCGTCCTCTTCATCTCCTATTGAAGGGGTTATATCCCCCTCGTCCTCTGCATCATCAATGGTAAGACGGAAACGTTTGGAGGGAGTGGGATCCTCCTCGTCATCTACATCTTCGATTGTAGGACGGGGACGTTTGACAGTGGTAGCTTTTTTCGGGGTGACATCATTCTGCAGATGATGACCAAGTACAGGATTCTTTGCTGGGTCGGCGGCAACAGGCGAGGATTGCTCTGTATCCTCCAGAGCCGCGGATTTCTCTTTTGTCGTCGGTGTATGCGTGCTTGGTGGTGGTGGGGGATTAACATCCATCTCATCTGTGGAAAAGGGGCAAGATTGAGAAAAAGTAGGGAAGAGGAGTCTGTAATGCTATCCGAACCTGGTTTACTCTCGGCAGTCTGCTGGGCCGAGGATATGGCTTTAGATAGGGAGGTGTGGTAGGTGGCTGCAAAAGGGCGGTAAGTGAACAGAACAGTGTGTACCGACAGGGGAACTGACTATATGCAGTCTCTAACCCATCTATAGAGTCAGAGCTTTTTCCTTCATGACCATGATCTAGGGAAGAGTTAGCTAGTGAATTGGCCAAGGAGTGGCCTGAACATATGAGATATGAGAGATAGACGAACCGGTATCAACCACATCCTGAAGTAACCCCTGCCCAGGTATAGGTGAGACTGTTGGGAGCAGATTACAGGGTGAAGCCATATGGAAATGTGGTTTTTACCTGAGTAAAAATAATCTCGGTCGTCTTCCGAAATTTCTTCTTGAGAAAACCGGAAAGTCTCGAAGAACTCGTGAAGGATTTCGACCGAAGTCCTTTCCCCATTCGAAACCGATATTAGGTTTCTCCATAGCCACCGCTCTAGTTTTTGAAAGTAGGCAGGTCGTTCTTCATAGGGGCCCAGTGCATGGGCCAGCTGCCTGGACTTGAATTTCAAATCGATCAAGCTAATTGTGAAAATGGCAGACCTGAAGGAGATGCCGTCTATCGGGACTGGTGCTTTGGAGAGCAACAGGCCGGAGCAGCAATAACACGGAGGAAGATAAGGCAAATTGCAAAGGGAACTGCCAACTGTTGGCTTTGTAACGTTTTCTTGTGTTTTCTTTGATTTTCCAGGGAAAACTATTTACGAGGCATTGAGGGGAATTGATTCTGCAGAGTTAGGCAGGACAAACCCAGGGTTCAACGAGCATAGTTTCAACTCATATTCTTCAACTTTTTGAGGGTATTCGCCCAGGCCCTAGGATTGGTGGTAAGTTGGAAGGAAACAATCATGATGAGGAAGGAACGACTTGCAGCTCTGAGCCACGATAGGTGAGAAGCGGCACGGTCAAAGTTCTCCAGGATCTTCAAGTATTTTCTACTGCTATTGAGAAGCTCCGAACTGTCTAAGATTTTTTGTATCGGATGCAGACCGTCTGCTGAGGGTGACGTTTGCTGAACTTGTCGGGTATACTCCTGATACCCTGTACTGGCTTCCTCCAAGATCGACAGCCACCCCCCTCTTGCAAGAAACACGCCGAGCTGAGTGGAGGGATTGAGTTAGGACGCAACGTTGAAGAGAAGGAGACGGTTACGGGATTCGTTAGGGTGGTGGGTAGGTTCGATAACACACGTCGGCGACACCCAATGGTCATTGGGGTGTGAGAAGGATCCTCAATGATATGGAGCGCGAGCGTGGCAAATATGAATACACCGACAGCTGCCCATTCATTGTGGCTGCCCTCTAGGGTGGAAGGAAATGGGCCCTGGGTGATGGCTTGCCATACAGGGTTGTGAAATAATGAATCTCGGACAGATTTGATGGAGTTCGCAAGCACCTAAGAGATGTAATTGGTTCAAGGAAGCATGGAAACGAAGAGGACAAGTGTACTTGGGACTCTGGTGAGGTTTGCTGCCTTGAAGCGCGAAGGATGACCTGGAGATCGGAAAACAAAGCTGAATCAGGGGTGGACATTGTGGTTCAGCGCCAAGGGACGGGCGTTAAAATGCTGGGCTCAGAGGATTAGTAATCTTTTCACAGCCACACTGTGAATTCACAATGTGGCTGTGATAAATTTCTCATCACGTTATGTTTCATATGATTTTTCAACTAACTTCAATGTCACTCTGATCAAGATTTCAACTAACTCGACACTAAACGTGATGGAAGGATTTGTGGACGATCTACGACAATGGGTGGACGCCACCGAGGCTGAATTGAATGGAGGGGAAGAGATACCTGTTACGGTAAGCTTAGGGGCGGGGAGGTCTTCGTATTAGAACTAACATACGACAGAAGTACTTGATCGCAGATTTAGCTCTAACTAAGGCCTATAGATTCCTTGAGAGTGAAAAAGCTAGCCATTGGTTTGAAAAAAGCGCAAACGATTGGTTCCCGATTGGTAATCTAGTAGCTAGAGCAAAAGTGTTGGGTTACTCAGGCATGAACATACCGAACCTGGCCGGAATCAAAGGGGAGCCCGATGAGAAGAATGTTCTTAAGAAAATTGTGAATAGTTCCGCCATATTTGAAAGAATCTTTGGCTTAGTTCCTGCAGATGAAGCCAATTACTGGACTGAGCGGATGGCCGGAAGTTATACGCAGAGCCGTTGAGTCGTGGAAGCAGGCTCCAAAACGACGACAACATAACACAAGATCAGGGGCGCAACATTCGGTTCAGGAGGTGTTTGACGGTCTCGGGATAGATGCGCATGTGGAGCTGGAACGGCGAATCGCCTTTGTTATCAATCTGGATTTCGGAGCATGGTGGCTAGCATGGACGAGAGAGGTAAGGTAGAAGCGCTTACCTTGTCAGTCGGTATCGCTGAATTTTTTTTCAAGGAGGCCTGCGGGTTCCCAGACTCTCTGAGGGACCTCCAAACCGTTGTGCCAAGGTGAGCAACCTATATCTCTGTGTGGGTTTTCCGGGATTCAATGGGGACAGTATTTCTTCCGGACTGTCTGAGGACTACGAACCAAAGAAGTGGGCTCTGAGCGGACATGTCATGGCGCTGATCTCGCCAGTCGCAATCTTGTTGCCAAAATCGTTGAGGAATGATAGCCTTCACCGAGGTACTCTGCTGCATGTGAGCTGTCTGTTCCCTTGCGGGCCCCTGCGTATTGCCGCTAACAGAGGTTATAGAAGTCTTATGTCCTGGGGATGAAAGAACGCCCAGACAGTCTGGCTGCAGTAGAGAAGTTCTTGTGGGAAAGGATCGATAAAATGTCCAGAGGGCTAATGACATCGGAGGAACTACTTCAAGATTTGGCAGAATACGATGGCTGGAAAAATGTGCCAGAGGATGAGTCGTTGTTTTTCGTGGATAAACGTACGTTGCGCTTTTCTTTGTATGAACACAGTCCCTGTACCCATTTCATTCTCCAGAGTCGTCGGAGAATTTGGCACCTAACGCTCCTCTTGGGGTTCCTCTCCCTCTAATCGATGAGAGCGGCGCGTCTTGCGAAGGTCAAGGTAACATTCAAACGGGTGACGAGACTATGGAGCCTGAAGGAGAGAACCACAACGAGGAATCCTTGCCCGGGAGGTCACTCCCCAGCGTGGAACAGGAACATAACGGAGAAATTATTGTTGGAGATCTGCCGTCAGTCAGCGACGGCGAAATGGTGTCTGGACAAGAAGCCTGCGGTGCAGCTTCCACAGGAGAAGCCCGCATTGAAAAGCAGGGTGGACCTGTGAAACCTGAAACAGATTCACTGGGGGACCTTGACGAGGAACACTTACCAGTCATCGGAAATTCGCCCCCGCTGGTGGAGGAGCGTGATGGAGAAACAGGCCAGAGAACAAAAACGATAGCGGTGAATAACATACTCAACATGATAGCCGAGTCATATGGTGATCTTGGAGAGGATACGGATGAGTCAGTCAGTTCCAAATCTGAAGGGTCCGGTCAAGAAGGAGCGCATATGTCAGCTGTGACCTCTGGACCTAATTTTAATCATCTCTCGCCAGTGCCTGAGGGGAACAGGATAACGGGAAAGGATGCGGGTGAGCAGTGCAAGACGTCGCGTCTTCTGGGACCTTCTTTCGACCAGAAGAGACCAGGCACACCCGATATGATCGATGTGGATAATGGTACTCCTGCTTCTTCGGGTCGTCCGGCACACTCCTTTACATCTATCAGCAAGCCTAGTCCGTCTGACCACAGGGAATATCAAGAGGGCCGTTCAGATTTGGAAAATGCAGCGGAAGGAATGAGTTCGGGGGAGGATGAGCTCTCATCTGTAGATGAATCCGTCATTGAACCTACCAAGCCCCCTGGAAGATCCTTACGTGAGAGGAAGATGCGAGTGGAAGTTCAAATAGATGGTAGCCAGTCTGGCAGGAAGCGTCAGCATTCATCTAACCACGAAGGAACGAGAAAACGGAGGAAGACCTCACATCGCATTCCTCGGGCCAAACCAGTGGAGAAAGCGGTAAGTACACCAACGGAGCCGAATAACGCGAAGAAGGAGGAAGAGGTAGCTACGATGGAGAGATTCAAAGCCAAGGATGCACGGCGAGTGTTTGTGATTCAAGCCAAACAGAGGGTAAGTTTGTGAAACTGGATGTGGTAGCCTTCGTAGATGTTGATGTACCAGTAAAGCTTCTGCAAAAGGACGTTGTTCATGTCTTTGATGTGGACGCAACGTGGTTTATCAAAATCAGAATGAAGGCTTTCGTGAGCGTTTTTCTTTTCAAGTTCTGAGTGGAGACTTCATATCCAATAATGAAAGGACCTAACGGACTTGGAGTTGTTCAAACGGGCGATGGAAAAATGCGCCGAGCAACAATTGATTGACGGGATAGTTGCTAAAGATGCCAAAGAAAAGTGGACGAATGTCAAACTAGGGGAATTGACAGAGAACAAGGAGGCGAAAGGTGTGCCGACAGACTTTCCGTGCAAAATCCTGACAGCCTCGGAATGGAGATCGCTAAGTCTTGGTGAGATTGGTGAGATAGTGAGTCAGTCGCCTGTGTTGATTAGGGGTGAGGAAGGTTTGGAGTTTGGAGAAGCAGCAGCAGAGGAAAAACTTGGAGACGTGGATATGATGAGAACGGTGCACGGTAACCATTTTGCTGCTCTTCATTTTGTTGCCCTGTATGACATCGGACATCTTTTGTTGTGCAGATAAATCATTGGAGAGGAGAGGGTCCACGTTCAGGCGTCCCTACGAGATGCGATACGGACTGCCCTTCACGGTAACAAATTGTCAACTGTCTCGACATCACCATTGAGAGGACGGGACGTTACACGGAGTTGCTGGACACTGACCGAGTGGCTGTAAATTATGTGAGAAATATGCCCGTAGTCCGTTTTATTGCAGACGGGATCGTGTTCACGGACTGGGGCTTGCTCGCCACCGGAAATGCCTTTCACAGGCGTCATATCGATGGTGGAGGGTGTGGTACTGAGGTGGCGGTGGTAGCTGGGACAAAGGTTTGGATTGTGTCTCATCCTAAATCTCCGGCATACTGGGGGAGGTGGTTTGGGGGGGACTTTGATGAGGTGCAAGAGAGCAAGGATTGGGGTGAATATAGCTTCCTGTTGAAACCGGGAGACAGAATGTAAAGTTCAATTTCCTCCCTATTTTCTGCGCCATTAGTTGAAATTTTGTATCTATTTGATAGCATTATGGGCCCATGTTCCCCGCATACTGTCTTGACCATTGACCCATCGATTGCCGTTGGGGGTCATTACAGGTTCGCTAAGTCGATGGACAAGACTTGTTGCGGCATTTGTCAAGCGTTCGTAGCCGACTCAAACTTCACGAATGCAGCCCACGTTGATGCGACCAGGGTGATGGTCTGCGTTCTGGTTTTCTTGGTGGAGAAGCTGAGTGGACCCGATATCGATTGGGAGGATCAATGTGAGCAGTATGATGCAAGGCCGTGGCGATTCTCATTGAATTCTCTCCTTCAGCCAAAACAATACATCTGTTAGACCCATACGAGCCAGCGCAGTTTCTCATTCTATTGATGGTGACAAATGTAGTGCGCTTGGCGAGGGTGCTTGACCCGAGGACCTACGACAAGACCCTTCCAAGAGATGTAGCGCGTGCTTATGGAGTAGGGGAGGCATACGCTAATAGGCTTTTGAGTTGGCTGGCAACAAATGTAGGGCAGCACACATTGGGAGAAACGGAGCAAAGCTGCACGGAAATTGCACGTCGTCATTTAGTGCAAATGGCACGTGCGCTCGTAGTATTCAGACATCACGCGGAGGAAGAAGGGATCGAGGGCGCAAACAGTAGTATAACTACTGAGAGTGTGCGGGGTGCAATTGAGGAGGAGAGCTTTGCAGAAACAGATTGGTTCAAGGAGCAGTGGCCAGGAGATGATGACGAATGGGACGAGCTATGGACAACAACGCAGAGCTTTATTTATATGGGATAGTTAATTTTACGTATGGTGCAGTTCGCTTTAAACACTGCAAACTTTTTCCACGCGCTAAATCGGCCGGAAGCCAACATTTTCTTTTGTATGGGCCTCATCCACCCAACTTGTGGTGGGGTTTTGATTTGCCACATAGTGCCAGAAGAGTGCATAGGGCAGTAAATAGCTGTATACAAACTTTATCTTACATTTATATTATGGCACGGAAGGGATTCCAAGAAGATTGCTCAGGTCGAGGCTGCTGCTCAAGCTTTTCTTGCAAAAACTGAGCAAAGATTGTCGTCAACTGCACAAAAGAAACTCATACCCCTGAGCCAGTTCAACCTGAAGTGATTACTGTAGACAATGATGACAACAAAGACTTATTGGAGTGTGGGTATGAGGGTAGCGTGAATGTCGTGTTCGATTTGGATTCAGAATTCGATGAATATCTTTCTGTGTACATGCGCCGAATTGGGAAGGACTTGAAAAATATCTCACTCAGTTTTGAAGTTATCGAAAATCGGTCGGAGGGTTGGGTTCATGTAATGAAAATGAGGAAGAATCTCTTGGGCGTGTAGTAAACTTTGCAAAAAGTTTGCATGATTTAAGTCGACTGCACCACTGGTTATGACCATTTTGGTGCGCCGCCACGGGCGTTAAAAGGCTGAAGCCAGAAGGTGATGTCATACGCATTGAAGTTGGGCGCTTGATTTAATTTCTATTCTTCCTTCTTCATTTATTTTGTCATGACGGACGTCCGAATTGCTGCCTTTGCAGACGCCGTGCAAAGATGGGTAGAAGAGGCATGGGACGCTGTTAAAGACGAAAATGAGAAAACACCATTAATGGTATGTGATTAAGAGTGCATATAGTCACACAGGGGTACTGATTGATTTCAACCCAGGATGCATTCAAGAAAGAACTGAGATTGTGTCGCGACACAAAACTTGTGGAAGGGCTCAGTGAGGATGGAAATCTCATTTTGGAATTTGACAAGAAGGCGGAGGCTTGGCGGACGATCGCCAATCTATTTGTGATCGGAGAATTGTTGCAAAGAGAAGGAGATCATTGTCTTCCGTCTTTCGCCGGATCGCAAATAGCTGGTTTCAATCAACAGGTTTTCAAAAAACTGGTGGGTACCCTTATGTGGAACGAGGAGAATCAATTAAAAACTACGACCAGTGGAAAGCTTTTGAGGGAAAGAAGGGTTGGCCGGGGATGGTCCAAATTGCCATCAACAGTTGGCAAAAGGCGAAGGCCCCTGCAAGAGAAGTGGTATGCAGAGAAGTAGGGATGAGCTCAAAGGTCTACAAGGTGCTTGGAGTTGGTCAGGGGTTTATGGAAGAGAGGCATAGGGGTATAATCTCCAACTTGAACCTTGCCGCTTGGTACATCAGCCTTTGCCGAGAGGTTGGTGTTATTACTGGGATGTCATCTTTGACTGATGTACTGCAGGGTCACACAAACTTTCCTTTGAATTTTGCGCAGTTGACTCAGTGGACGGGGGGGTTGGTCTTATTGTTCATTCGGCAAGATTGAAAATGTTTGATTCTCTAATTTTCAGAATTGACGTAGAACTTGCGGAGGAATACAAAGGCACAAGATGGGAACTGAGTGGTCATCTGGCACTTTTGATTAGCCCAATTGGTTTGCTTCAAACCCGTGGTATTCGTCATCTCAGTTTGCACAGGGGGGTGCTCCTGCAGGTGGGCCACTTGTATATCACTCTCGGGAATTAGATTTACAATCCACCCAAAGGCTCGTCACCATTTAGCCCAGAGAGAGCGGCCCGCTAGTCTAATCGCAGTTGAAGACTTCTTGTGGGAGGGAATATTGAAAATGTCCCGAGCTGAGATGAATGGTGACCAACTTTTGGAGGAGTTGGCTCGGTTCGAGGGGTGGAAGCATGTGTCCGAACAAGATATGTTTTTTTTCAATCTGAGTGCGTTCAAGCGCAACGTATACAAAACAAACTGAATAATAAAAGGAACCACGATAGATGAAAGGGCGGAGGCAATGCCTGCTCTAGCCAACGTCAGTGTGGGTTCGCTGGATGCACCGCATATTAGCACTACATCAGAACGCAATGAGACGAACGACCCAGAGGGTGGCGAGGACGACAACATAGGACCAGGGCGACGAGCTGATCGTGAAGAAGTGGAGCAAATGCTTTTTGCCATTGACGCAGAGTTGGCTTTAATATCTGCACAGAGTACGGCTATCAAAGGTGACTCCACGGTGGGCGAAGAAGCACATAAGAGTGGACAAACATGCGTGGAATCAAACACAGGTTCCGCTGAGACTTCAAGTGGGCACGAGGAGCGAGGTTCTTCTACCGAACGTCGATCAAAGGAGGCTCCAAGCGAATCCGAAGACATGGGCAATCCACCCCGTCGCATAAAACGGAGGTCGACAGATGTAGAAGATCATGATGCGGATGATGAGGGGCAAGATCTACCTCCGGAACGTCGATCAACAAAGGGCCGAAGTGAATCCGAAGATGTGGACGATCCACCTCATCGCGCAAGACAGAGGTCCACAGATGTAGAAGACGACGCGGATGACGTGCGTGGCCGGTCGACAGATGACGAGGACGAGTCAGACGAGCTACGCAAAGTTGGTCCAAAGGAAAGCGAGCAAGGATCGGACGATGCCAAGGGCGACGAAGAACTTGGCCGTACGACTGGACTTGGAAGAGGGCGCGATTCGTCTGACTGTGAACGGAATCCTAAGCGGCGAAAAATTACACATCAAGTCCGTAGTTCAGAGGAGCGTAGGAGCCAAGACAGTACGGATATCGTATCAGTAGGCAGCGACATTATACGCATGAAAAAGGAAGAACAGACGAGGACCGAAAGGTTCTTTGAGACGCTGGAAGAGCAGGGGCCGGCCTTTGAGGTTTCCATCCCAGAGGAGGTAGGGTATTGTGGCTCTTTCTGAATCAGTGTGGTCCTCACGATACCTCAAGCTGTTTTACAAGAAGGAGTGTTTGTTATTCGACCATAGCGGGGAAATTGGGCTGAAAACAGTTATCCGGTCACAGGTGAGCAAATTATTGTATATACAGATTGAGGTTTGCTAAGGTTTGTCTCTGAGCGCCGGGATTTTCAGCACGATATGTCGCTGATTTCCGAAATGGCTCTGCAGCTCCAACTCAAGAATGGACTTATCAGCGACGTGGATGTGAAAGGACTCGAGGATGCCAAAGTCAATACTCCTACAAGAATTGCCGGAAAGAAGGTACTTGAGGGTCCTGACCGCGTGGTCTACGTCGAGGAGAAGATTTGGGCAAAATGGACCAAATCTCACCGTCACTCAGTTATAAAAAATGCGGGCGTCTGTGTGCGGAGTGGCGGGAATAAAGCGACATGCTTTGATCAGGTGTATGCAGGGCAAGCCTTGGGGGACCTTGATATGCCTCGATGGGTTAATGGTGGGTACCGAAGAAACTGGGGAGGGAGGTTTTGTCGCTAACCTCGATGTCTAGACTGGGGGTTAATACAAGCAGATGACAACAGGCATCTGGAAGATCAGATACGCGTCAAGGGCTCCCTAAGGGATATTCTGCATAGTGCACAACGTGGAAACAAGATCCTGGATAGCACGAGGATCGACATTCACATGGCTAATCCAAAGTCGTTTGGGTTGGGTACTGATGAAGAGGCGATTCTCTTTGTAAGAAACCTTGAAAATTTGAGGTTTGTTGCGTTTGGATTAGGTGGTGGAGAATGGGGACGGGTAGCTACGGCTAATGTGATCCAACGTTGGCACGTAGAGGATGCAGGGAAGGCATCCATGTTGCAATTATGTCGGGGTTTGGGGTGCCTGGTCTTTGCGCAACCCAAGATAGGTAGCGACAGGGAGGGGTTTTTAAGAGTAGGATTTGAGGAAGCAGAAGATGAGGGTTGGGATTACTATAACGTGATCCTGGAAAGTGGTGACTGTTGGTGGGTGAAACAACCAATGAGGTATGCTTTTCGACTAACTGTTTTTTTTTTTTGGGTTGCAAAGGTTTATGGGACCGTTGGTACCGCACCTTTTGTTCACCCTGGAACCTTCACTGCTTAAAGGATCGCAATTTCTTTTCGCTTGGACGATGAAGGAAAGCTGCTATGGTCTTCTTGATGCCTTCGTCGCCCGCCGGGGTATAACAGACACAGTTTACCATGATACCCTCCGTGTCATGGTTTGTGTATTGATCTTCTGGTCGGAGAAAATGGACAAGACGTTCCACGCGGGAGGATACCGTACGTACCCCAACTTGATGATAGCCTTCGGTATCTAAGTTTTGGAATGTGGACAGAGAAGAACAGCCACCATCTGAACCCAGGGAAGATGGAGGACCTGATAACAATTTTGATGGTGACTAATGTGGTTCAGTTGGCGAGAGTGCTCGACACGCGTACATATGAAGGGGGCATGCCTAGTAGTATTGCGCGCGCATACGGTGTCGGCGACGCGTACGTCAAAAGGTTGCTACATTGGCTTGAAGGTAACGTCTGGGTAACGCACAGTGCTGACAAATCCCAGTCAAACTTTGTGGTTGATTTCGCCCACGAGTTTCTGATCGTTCAAGCAAAGGCACTGATCTTGCGTCGTTGGATGCTTCAGCAGAGAGATATTGCGGGGAATGTCACACAGGAATCTGCCCGAGAGGTGAGGAGGGCTATCGAAGAGGAGAATTTTGCCCGAGAGAATTGGTTCAAAAGGTACTGGCCGAGTGAGGAACAATGGGATGAATTGCTCTCTGGAAACAAGGATATCACGGTAGATTTTGCCTGGGATAAATCTCCCAAAGGGTTCACATACTACATACGTAACGCTGCCTAATTTTATGTATGCCCTTGGGAAACAATAAACGGACGCACGTGAAGTAGACTTGTAATTGAAGATGTGCCAGCAGACTGTAAGAGGGTCCTTGGGTTGAATCTTGACAGACGCAGTCCCTACGGAAAAGTTGAGCGGCACAATCAAATGGACTCATAATGATGGAACGTGGTATTAAATAAGCAATAACGATCACGCGGCTTGTATACATTGTTCTTTGTGAGTGCATGTCAATGGTTGTGCCAGGATTGAACCTCAAACGCAAGCGGTCGCCGGACGCTGAAGGGAGGGAGGAAAAGTGGAACTGGACAGGTGCTTGCTATTTTGGTAAATTGACCAGCAACGTTTTGTTCCTACATGTGCTTGAAACAGGGAATACACCACCGTCATTCGTTGAGCGGCGACTGTCTCCCCGCTCACCGAACCGACGAGCGCAACGGACTACCAGGCGGACGCGTAGACAGCCAGTGATGGTGGAGAATCCCGAGGATCCACCATTGCACAATCATACCCTACACGACAAACTGGTTAACATGGATGGATTCGAATACATGCTACTTCCAGGACGTGATGAGGATATTTTTGGAAAAGTGTACACCTGCAAGAAACACTCTCTGGTCAAGTCCAAAGCGGTGGGGACAGTGTTTGTTGTTGTGATGGACTGGTCGAAGGAGTCTATGACCCGCTTGCACAATGCCTGCGCAAATCAGGATAAACCATTGCGGAACCGAGGAGAGATCAATGCAAAGGGTGAACTGTATTGGTTATCTGATTGATACGGCGCTAACTGTGGTTAAAAAGGGTTTTTCATCGCACTACCAGAACGGAATGATTTTGTAGTGTGGAGAAACAAGTGGGGAACAGGAGAGGAGAAGGATGACTTTGTGAAATCATGGTCTAACTCTATGTATTTACTTTTTCATTTTGAGGGATAATGGACCCTAAGCTCTTTCTTCAGAAAGGATTATGACAGCCAAGAGCAATCTGGAATGAGAGGTCTGCGTGGGGAACTGTATGGACCGAAAGAGCAGCATCGCCAGGGGCGTGGAGGGGTTCAGATTGAGAGGATGAGGTCTATGAAGCCGGTCAGGGGTTCAAGCCGGTCCTATCTTCTCTCGGTTTCCAACCAGAGCCAACGGAACTTGGAAGGGCCTGCCGTTAACAGTAAAAGGTATGGTCGAAGGCTGGATGATTTAGGAGATTTACAGAAGAGATTACTGGCGGTACGGTTATCGTGAATCAGCGAAAGCGCTTGACTGATGTGTGAATGTTAGCGAGGCGCACAGTGTGGTGTGAGGGGTCTTGCAAAGGTGGATGGTCGGTGGAAAGAGAACGTACGTACGCAGGCGGAGGTGTCCAACTGTGCGAGGGTTGGGTGTGATGAAAACCTGTTCTGGGCGAGTGCACAATTGAACATTGCATCACTGGATCACGTTCCAAATGAGGTGTCGAGTGTGGTTCCAGTTAAAGGGGGAAATGAATTAAGAGAGAAAAGAAAGGCCCCAGGTGAGGACATGTCATGGATACTCGGGGAAGTATTGAATTGCTTTATTGCTTGAAACGAAGGGTTAATCCACGACATTGGTCAATCCGGGGGTCCCCATAACGACGGCGGTGATCATGAGGGGATGGTGTCACATATGATGAACTGGTCAGAACCTAGGGCAGACGTCTACGAGGAATACTTTACGATATTTGACTCGGGGTGCTGCTGGAGGCTGGATGAGCTTTGCTCTATCTACTTTTCCGGCCTCCATTATCATAGTGGTGCCTCAGCAATACCGAAGGATGATTTTGATGGAGCATCCACGTACACGAGGATGACCTTGATCATGTATCCATCTGCTCGGGAACTTGAAGGTGACTCCCAGGTTGCGATGGGTTTTATACCCATGGAACCACGTCATGGTCTTCTGACATTAAATGTGGAGATGAGGAACTTTGCGTGCGTGGTTTGTTGTCTGGGGTATCATTGCTGATGGCAGGAGAATCTACAATACAGCTCTCATGCTTATGCTGACCGCGGCCTGACTACCTATGGAAATTATATTGCAGATGGGCTGTCGTTTATGACTGAACAATCATATCTCAACCACTTGTCCCGAAATTTTCTGTGCTTTGTCACGTACATGATTCGTCAGGCCCCGATGGATGGACTGGTGCGTGTGGATAAGGAAAAGTTCCTTTCTGCCTTCTCCATGCGAGACGGGAATGTGCGAATTGGGACACAGCCTTGGGAGTTGGGGCCCGGGTGGACAGGTGACGACGTGAGGATTGGAAAGATCTATGAAAATGACTTTGATGCAATGTCAGAAGAGCAGTGCCTTCAGTTATGGAACTCGGACACAGGATCTGACCTACCATTTGGGAATGAGGGGATCAGGTTGCAACGAGAAGTATGGAAGGAATACAAGATGCAGGCTATGCAGGTTTTGCCCATTTGCCACGCGTCAGGGGAAGTAGATGAAGTGGACTCCATTCGGCATGGTAACTACCGCAGGATAATTAGGGATCAGGGTGATAAATGTTTTGCAGAAAATCGTGCTTTACTGACATATCATTGTTAGCAATGAGAAAGGCGCGAAGCAAGGTACAAAATCAAGTTAAAAAAGCAGTCAAAGGTCGGATCAAACGTGCAAGTTCCAAAAGGGTAAATGTTAAGGGGAAGGTGAAGATTGGTACATGGTTTTGTGATATTGTTCAAGTATGCTTCTGGAGTTGATCGATTACTAGGTGTGGGTCGCAAGCAAGGGGAGCACAATATGGAGGAGATAGAGGTTGACAGAGAAGATGTGAGGGTCACGAAGGCCTCCTTAGGAGCAAGTGACGGAAAAGGTTGGAAAGATATTGAATTGGTCCAAAGATGCACTCTAATTTGGGCCCTGGTAGGAAAAAAACCTGATGGTGTTACTGTTGGCCGACTGGTGCCCCCCCCCCGACTTCTGGTTCCCCCTTCAACGCTGGTTATCAACCTTTTGTCTCCTTCCCTGCGATCTGAGGTCGATAGTCTTGACAGAGACTTAGGTTGCTACAAGCTGGTACCTCATTTTCCCTCGCAAGAGTTGAGGAAAGGAGCTGGCTTTGGCGATCTTGCGAAATCTTACAGTTGCCTTTCAATAATTAATTCACGAAATGGAATAGAGGCAAGGATAATCCATCAGGATCTACTGCTGCTTCGGATGGTGGTGTGGGAGGAGCTCACTGTACTCCAAGAGAGTGCTTTGCGATTCCTACAGGAAAAATCCGATCATCTGTATGGGCATCTGCACCTTGAGGTCGAATGGTTCACCCGACTCGCACTTGATATCCGGCATTGGCTTGAACTTCAGGCTGGCGACCAAGAATTTCGTGCGGAAACTTACTTGACTCCTGATTTTCTGGTGGACCAAAGAAATACTACAATCCTACGATGCTCCAGAAGGCAAATTTTCCCAAGTGATCCTCTTGGATGGGTAATGAATTGTGCTAGAGAATTTGTTGTAAGTTGGATGGGACTTGTGGTGGGAAAGAAACAGGAATTGTCATCAATTTTTATTCGTGAGGTTTACAACCGCTTGGGGGTTGGAGCTTTGGCTCTAGGGGAGGTATGGCGTGTGGCAGAGAATGTACCTTTGCATCTTCTTGGTACATCCAAGACAAAAGATGTGGATGCGTCTGAGGTCATTCGCAAGATGTGCCATATCATGAGCTCGACGGTGGAAGTAGATGAAGATGTGATGGGGCTTCTGGTTCAGATTCACAAGAAGTGTTTCTCGGTGCGTGATCAGCTATCAAAAGATCGGTTGGAGGTGTTAGTGGGGATAGGTTCAAGGGGGAGAAGGTCTGTACCCCCTGAGCCCATCTACATTGTGGCCATTCTTAAGCATCATCCAAGGCACACCACTCATACTTATCCAGGGCCAAATGAGGAGGGGATGGGCATCTTAACGGTTTGCAACTCTCGATTCTTTAAATTGATCCCGAGGTGTACTGATATTGGTGCTTAGGAGTCTGATGGTACAACAAGCTTTCCGAACTACACTGCAAACGATACGTGAAAAATGCGGGAAACAAACGGAGTGGAAGGGAAAGGGCGGTGAACCAGGTAGTATGAGTTTCGACATTGGTTATGGAGGGGGTGGGGTTCTATGTGGAGGTATACACCTAGCATTAGTCTTTATATATCTACCCCGTCAGAATCAGTCACATAGTCCATATCTGCAAAACAGGTGTTGTCTAGGAAGGCACGAACGTGTTCGAAGGTTGATGATCCCGCGATGACATCAACAGCCCTAAGCAGGAACCTCCTTTGTTCCCAAAGCCAGGGAATCTCGACTTCAAAGGCGTCGTTTTCCAATTCCCGAATAACGATTGCTAGGACTCTGTCAAAGTACTTGGAGCTGCGAGGATATCCCCGCTGCGTGAGATGAAGTAGTGCAGGATCAAGAAGGACGGTGGGGCCAAGCTGCAAGACAGTTGGTTGAGCATGGTGGGTTTTCTGTCTTTCGAAATTGAAAACCTACCATGGTAAACAGAGTGGCAAACTTTCGACGGCGAGAAATGATTTTATTATGGTGGGTATTGAACTTTCGATAGAGGGCTGCGCGCTTGATCTTCTTTCGTCGTTCGGTGATCTTGTAATTGGAAATACGGGCAAATTCGTCGGAAAAGTATGTTTCGGCTACGGCGTGTCGAAATTGGAGCTGGAGTTCGGGAGAGAGTGTGTCCCATTCTTGGACAAGCTGCAGGGCCTGGATGTTCCGCAAAACACATTTGATCCATATATGCACGTTGTTATTTTGAGTATCTTTGAGGATAAAGATTTCTCGAGCCAGGGCGCGATCTTCGAGGACTTGAATGTTGTCGATGTTGTTTGCAGAGGAAGTCCATTTTGGAATACTTTTTGTGACGAATTGGTGTTCACCTAATTCTTTTTCCTAAAGGACGTTGATGAGTGTAAGGTGATGAAAGGTTTTGCGCACCATGGTATGAGTCGGGTATAGCTTGTACCCGCAAATCATGCGTATGATCGCTTGCCGTTCTTGGTCTTCAACTTTGCCTTTATAACCAGCAGCAGCTACCATGGACCTAAAGTCTTGAAGACGAAATCGGAGACGGCCAGGATCGTGGATTACTTCGAGGATCGGAGCCTTTTGCGCTGTGAGTTGCTCGTCCACAACGTCGTTGGGATCTTCGTCGGTGCCATACTCGTCCCCTTCGTCCACAGAGTCAGCGTGGGAGACCAGAGCTGCAACATCTTCCGGGAGAGGGTCTGTGAGGCATGCATAGAAGGCTCTTTCGGGTAGAAGATTGACAGACAGTACTAACCCCAGGTGTAGGTTCCTATCTCTAAGTTCAAAGGGTCACCTTGATCGTCAACAGTTACCTGACCCATGGCGATTATCCACTGCAGTAAACTCTCGGCTTTGTGGTGTAGTGCTTGCAGGCCAGCGGAAAAGGTTTGCCGAACGTCAGGCTCTGTATTAGCGGCAAGTGGTGCGATGTTGCCGATTTTGGCGTAAACCTGAGTGAAAAGCTCATTGGCGGATTTGAGGGCAAGGTTGGACATGGTGAATCGGAGAGAGTTGTATAACCATCAGATGACGTCGAAATGAAAATGCGTGATTGTTTGAAAGGCTTGGCAAAACGCAGGACTAGAATTACAAATGCTATACACTAGACAGTTCGTTGGTTGTTAACACTAGCTTTCTAATTGTTCCTCTTATTCTTCCTCTTCAGAATCTTCCTCGTGTTCTTCCTCTTCCTCGTGTTCTTCCTCTTCCTCAGAATCTTCCTCTTCCTCCTCTTTCTCAGAATCTTCCTCTTCCTCAATATCAGGAGGTACAGTACGATTAAAAAAGTCTTCGACATATTCACTGGTAGAAGGAAAGGCGACCATGTTCAGTAGACGGGTGACAAACTTGCGGCGCCTCCAGTATTCGGTACGTTCAACAGGGGTGTGCTCAAGGGCTTGAATGACAGACGGGACAGCTCTCTGGAGGAACGATGAGGGTGAAGATTGACCATGGGAGGATGGGTGGAGAATGACGCTATCGAGTAGGGCAATTGCCCCAAACTATACACAGCGAAGTTTGAATTTTTTCTGAACTGGGATGGTCGTATGGGATCCATACCTTTTTATATAGTTTATCAAGAAGAGAACGGCGGGCCATCACCGAAGACAGGTTTTGAATGCACTGTAGAACCAGCTGCTGTTGAGACTTGATACCGCCTTTGATAGTTGAGGACTCGTTGGTGGCGATGGCGTTGAATTGAGACGCATACAAGCGCTTGGAAACAGCCTCACAGTAGGCGAAGATCTCTATTTCATCGAGAGAGCCCCATAAGCGGACAGAGTCAATGGCGATGATGTTGTGGACGATACTGTGAACCCATAATCGGCACTTGTCGGTGGCTTGGGCTTCCCAAAGGAAAATTTCGTGGTCAATTAGGAGTTGCTCGTTGGAGAAAGTCGGTGGGGGTTTGGTCATGCGTTGGAGTTTGTGATTCAATCCACCAGGGGAAACGCTGTCATATATGGTATTTTCGTGCTTGGAGAAGGGCCTTGTTGAATGATTCTGCACAGAGAGTGTTGTGAAAACGCACTATGTCCGAGGTAGTTGCCTTTTTGTATCCGAAAATAATCCTACGTAGGCTGTCGAGTTCGATCTGAGGTGTTATCGTTTCGCTACGATGGTAAATGCGTCTTTGCAGGTCTTGTAGAGAGTATTTCGCTTCTTCACTTTGAATATTTTCTATTACATCCATGGTGAGATCGTCCACGTCATCGTAGCTACTGGCGTCGAATTGGAAGCCATCCGAGGATGGCATGGGGGTGTTGGTTGGTGTTATCCAGCTCGCTAGATGTGAACTCTGTTAACAACAGGGAGGGTAAAATTGGGTTGATTAGAAAGGACCTTACCGTCTCTATACTGACCAAGCATGAAGTCGACAGGTTTGCCTGGAAGATCGTTGAGAATCTGACCCAAGGATATGGTCCAAGTAAGGATCATTTCGGAGTTGCGGTGGAGACTCTGGAGGTCTTTGATGTATTCTTGGCGAAAATGAGGTGTCAAGTTGGCAGGCGGAGGGTCAACACTGGTAACCAGCCGACAAACATCACGCAGGAGGTGAGAAGCTTGCTTGAGTAATTCAGATGAGGTTTGCATGTGGTGAGAGTTCAGAAGGACGCTGTTGTTTGTACATGTCTGTGTATATATGCTATTGTAATCAGGACCCTGGCAGGCTTCTTGTCTGCAGCTCCCATTCACGGCCGACTTGTATAACACCAATCCAGATCAATTGATTTTCCATCCCAAGCCAGTCAATGCGACGAATTCCCATGGAAATTTGTGTTGACTCAATCATGCCTGTCTGATCTCGGTACCACTCGCCAATGGCCCTGCAGCGTTGACGGAATGCTTTACAAACAAGCTCTTGTCCAGTTTGAGGGGGTCCATTTTGAAAGCGGTATGCGGAAGTCATATCTAGGTTGAAGTAATCGACTTGGCTGACAGGTTGCTGAAGAAAGTTCCATACACCGACAAGGACGTCCTGAACAGTGAGTGGGCTCGCTTGACGGAGTTTGATAGCCCAGGGCAGGCGAGGATGTGTTATAGTAATACGGTTGCTATGCGAGACCGTAGCGCTTTCGAGAAGCTTGGTAACGTGGGGATTGAGGAGGTTCGTAAAGACTTGATTTTGGGGAGACAGGTTGATGGGCAGTCTAAGATCAATGGCGATGGGAGGTTGATTGTAAGTCAAAATAAGGAGGACTGGATTAGGAAGGAAGCGAGGATCCGGGGTGCCTGTGTTGTTGGTGGTACCAGGAAGAACTGTGTGAATGGGGGAAAACATACGATAGGGCTGGTTAATGGAGTATTGCTGCCGCCAGTCTTGGGGTCTTTGAGGCAGAGGAGTATATACGCTGTGAGATAACTGTAAGCGAATACTCTGAATCGTGATAGAGAAAGGGAACGAACGTCGGGAGATGGAACATGGTGGGAATGAGCAAGAGGGTGTGTGTCATGTGGGTTAATGTCGATGCACGTGCAATTACAGGAGTGATCGGGGCGTGCGAGATAAGCAAATATGTTCGTCTGGTCTGTCCCTTTGATTTGGGTACGGAGGGAAAACAGGTGATAAATTCTCAAGAAGGCAAGGGCTTGTAGGATCAAGAGCACCTTCATTTTGGGGCACGGTGCTCACTGGTCTTTTCCCTACAGGTAACTAAGTAGCGTATTGTCTATGGTTGGAATCATCCCGTATATTGCTCATGCGGAATGAACTGGATGTGGGATAATCGTCAAACAGTCCTCAGAACCGCGCGTAAGAGCTACATGGAGAGGGCCCGAAACCGCCTGAAAGCTATGGCTCAGGGCTTGGGTAGCCTTGATGGCACCACTTGGACTGGAGGAGTGTCGACTATACATGGGTCTCTTGAGGTGAATATGGATGTTGATAGCTAACGGGATTCTTCAGTGAGGACCACAGAAGAGAATGGGGGGAGAAGCGTATTGGGCATCTTGCGCCTGGTGTGATGGTGTATGTGGAATCTCATGTAGAAAAAAAGGTAGCTGGTAAGTATTACAGGACTACTACTACTATTCAATGTCAATCACACTTTTTCAATGTTATATTTTCTGACTCTCGCCAATTTCTTGCATCTGGCTGTGAAGAGTTCTTCATAACGAGGCGGCTGGTTCTCCTGCTTTAATAACGTCAAGTATACCTGATCTAAGTGGGTGTGTAGTGCGCAAAAGGTAAGAACGTGGAACATTACTCGGAACTCCACGCTAACCGTGAGGCGTTCCAGTGCGGGGAGGTAGGCAGCTGATTGATGCAGGCAAAGGTACCTGAAGAGCTCAACACCAGTTGGATTTTCCACCCACGGGTCGTCTTCAGAGTAGGATAGGTGCCGAAGATTTGCAAGGTTGCTTAAGAGTTGCGGGAGTGAGATTTTGGACAAGCGAATGTTGTGGAGGTTCAGAGACGTCAGATGTTGGGAATGTTGTAGAAGATCGATGGCGGAAGTAGGGCAGTACGACCGTTTGAATTGGAGTGAGGTTAGGTTTGGAAGCTGGAAACATTGTAGCGAGGTATCCACTATGGCGCCGCCGGTGAGAGTGTGAAGGGAAAGAGAAACACAGGACTTCAGGGCAACGGGTAAATCAAACGACGGTTCGGGTACCATGTTGCCCGGAAAGTGCTCTAGGCGAATGGATCCTATGTGTATGTCCTCAACGTTGGGGCACTGGGTGAGGAGTTTGCATGCATCGTCTAGCCGCATGTGATCAATCCAGATGTACCTGATGGATGGGAGAGGGTGTGAGGGTAGAAAAGAGAGGCGAGAGACCAGAAGAGAAGTGAGAACGGAACAATCAAAGGCACCGCTGAAGGGGTCGATAATTGGGTATGGACCTTCGCGAACAGTTCCGTGGCGTAGGTTAAGGGACTTCAGTGCGGGAAATTTGAATTCTTGATTGAAGAGGGAGACAAAATTTTCGCCTTCGAAGGCAAGTAGAGAGAGTTGCTGGATTCTAGGGGCGGTGGTCAGAAGACATGATGGTAGTAGTGAACCTTGCAGCCAGATGGTGAGATCCAGAGGGGAATGCTTGGATCTGCGCAGAACCTCAGCAAGTGCGGTTTCTGGGCCCATTGTTTCTGCACAGAATGTTGACCAGAGCTGAGGATTCTGTTCTATGATTGCATGCCACAGCTTGCACACCTGAGTAGAGATCAGTGCGATTCTTCTTGCTGATGAATTATGGGAACACACCTGTCCCAGCACAAGCGTTGGCAGGTAGTTTCGCCAAGGAGGCTTGAGAATGACCATTCTAATGCAACACCAACTGAAGATTTCGAGATATATCTCCTGGGGCAGGTTGGAGATTGGGGAGCTAGCGATTTTCTCCATTGTCGTGGTGCGGTTGATGTCTGTAAAAACTAATGCATATATTGATGAGAAAATAGGCGTCTGGAATGACGTCAATGGATTTTTGTCATGACAGTATGATGTAATTCCTCTGGGCTCAGCACTTTAACGCCGGTACACCGCCACATTGTGTCGCTCACAATGTGGCAGTTCTTTGGGCGCTCAATAGCGGAATTCTGGGTTGGGCAAGTGTGTTGAACAGGTTGCTTACAATCCAAGCTTGAACGGGTACATGCGTGCTCCTAGAACAGCTGTGCAAGATCCCTGACCAAAGGTAACAGTGTACGAGGCGAATGGTGCTCGGTTGAAGTCCCTCAACCCTTCCTTAAGATGTGGTAATGTCTTTGGAAGGTCTGCACAGGCACTACAAAAGGATTAGAAGGGCGAATGAAGGTGAGCGGGGAGTAGAAAAGTCTGTAGAAGCTTTTCTAAGGTATCAGGAGGACTTATACAATGTTCATGTGGTAGCCAGAAGGTTTTTGAAGGTCTCAAGGTTGGAATGTTGTGAAAGCCCTTATGAAGGTATCAGCAAGCCTTATAAAACCGTGCTAAGGTACCCAGGAGGTTTCTAAGGGTTTCGAGAAGGTTGTCATGCTTTAGGAAGCTACAGGCAAATAGTAGACAGTTAATGGGGGTCGCAACCTCTCCGAAGGTCCCTGATGTTGTATGGAAGGTCTACAGAGGCATCATGAAGGTACCAGAAAGATTTCCGTGAGTCAGGAGGGGCTTACCAAGGTCTTCTGAAGGTACAGGGAAGGCTTTTACGACCTTCTAAGACTATTTAGAAGGTTGTCACGCCTTTGGAAGGTCTACGCAAGCATTATGAAGGTACCAGGAAGTCTTCCACGAGTCACGAGGGGCTTATGAAGGTTGACAGAGGCTTTATGAAGGTACCACGCGGACTCAAACAACCTTCCCAGGGTAATTTGAGAGTTACCAAGCGTTTGGAAGGTCTACACAGGTGCCATGAAGGTACAAGGAAGGCTTGTACCACCTTCTTAAACTATCTAGAAGGTTGTCAAGACTTTGGAAGGTCTACGCAAGCATTATGAAGGTACCAGGAAGTCTTCCACGAGTCACGAGGGGCTTATGAAGGTTGACAGAGGCTTTATGAAGGTACCACACGGACTCAAACAACCTTCCCAGGGTAATTTGAGAGTTACCAAGCGTTTGGAAGGTCTACACAGGTGCTATGAAGGTACAAGGTGCTATGAAGGTACAAGGAAGGCTTGTACCACCTTCTTAAACTATCTAGAAGGTTGTCAAGACTTTGGAAGGTCTACGCAGGCTTTATGAAGGTACCAGGAAGTCTTCCACGAGTCACGAGGGGCTTATGAAGGTTCGCAGAGGCTTACGAGAGTTTGCAGAGGCTTATGAAGGTACCAAGAAGGGTTATACAAAGAGGTAATGAAGGTTTGTGTGGGGTGAAGGTGCAGAACTTATTCCTGATGGGTTTCGAAAGTTTCTGATGGTGTCTGGAAGGTCAACACAGGCTCCACGAATTGTCAGGGAGGTGCGTGGGAGAATAGTGTGCCTTCGCAAGGTTCACTGCGCCATCAAGGCTCTTCCGGACTATGGAGGTACCTGATGAATTCTGATATATTATAAAATATAAGCTTACTTGGAAACTCTGTGGGGGTGTATGTAAATTTCCGGTCAATTATGACTAAACATTCTTGTTGTGGGACAACGAAGACTGTTAGGCCACTAGAAAATTCAGGGCAAGACCCAAAACAGGTCTTCAAAATTTCTTTCATCTGCTGCATTTATTCAAATCAAACAGGTTGATTGGAACACAAAAAGGGGAGGGATAACATGAAACACCAAGAAAAATGTCCAAACTGTGCGTACTTGTTACTTTATCACTACGGGGTAAAAAGGCTTCCATTGTCACTAGATAAATCAACAGTTTTCTCTTCAATGGGGCCGTCGACTATGGAAACAGAACTGCTGGACGCTGTGGCTATGTTTTCATCTGGGGAACCTGGGACAGGACCACCACAAGACGTTGATAAATTCTTGACATAGGACCCATCAGATGCCACGTCGGTAGGTTCCACACCGCCGTGGGGCAGGCTCGTATCGACAGCTGGAGGATGGGATTTGTCGTGAAGGGGATCATCGAGAATACGACGTACAGGTTCAAGCGGGGTTCCATTCAAGAGTGCTTCCAAATAGACCTGAAGGTAACGATCCCATAGCACCATGCGTTGGTCAAAATTGGGGACAGCAGGCAGCTGGTCGTCCAAGGTCATTGGGAGAGAGGGTAGCGTAGATGTGATTGGGAACATCCTGTGATAGAGTGGTGGTTCAATCGCGGCTGGGGGTGAATCTGCAAACCCAGCGTGTTGGGCTGCGTCCAGCAACGCACTGTCTTCAAAGCGAGAGTTTGCGAGAATTTCAGAGAGCAGGTTATCTTCAACATCGCCCCGGTTTGAAAAGAAATATGTTAGCGTACTGAGGGACCGAATGTGGATATCGGCGAGCGTATGTCGGTTGCTTTCCAAGAATTCAAGCGCAAGTTTGTTCCAACGGGCTAAGCCTTCGGGAGACTGGTTTCCACGGCGAAGGAGATTTATCGCTCCCTCCAAGACTTGGTGAACAAAACTAGTGTGGAGATCTAGGAGGCGGGATGGGTCAGTTCGATGAAGGCGGTGGGCATGGGATGCTATTCTTCGATTCAAGGAATGGGATTCATTCAATTTTTCCTGAAGTTCCTGCCAGACAGGAATGTGAGGATCTTGTGAATCCTGATAATAGGTTTGAATGAGGGATTCGGCGCCCGAGGCTCTGCTTTTGTAAATCTGTAAGGTCTCGTTGAGTTCCTCGATCAGCACCTGCTGGCGGGCGGCCATTGCGTTCCTCTCGTCCAAGGTGTGCTGTGCTTGACAAAGGCGTTTATTGGAAAGCGAGCATTCCTCCTGGAGTTTATTGTGTTCCTCGGACCTTTCTTTGCTTTCACGCTGGAAGGTGTCAAGACTATCTTGAATGAGAGAGAACCGAGAAAGGATGTCCTGCACGATAAAAGATGAGTGAAACTGAAGTGAAAGGAACTCTTGAAGGTGCTATACCAGTGAAGAGGGGCCTTTAATTGCCTGGTCCAGGTTGTGATAATCCGCAATAACCTGGCTGTATTCCGCTTTTTGTTGTGTCTCAGAGTCTATGGTCCTACGTAGTTCTACCACTTCCTGGGCGCGGGTTTCTAAGGAGGTCGTGGTGTCTTTCAAGGCAGATGTGAGCCGTGAAATTTCAAGGCGACTGCTAGCCAGAAGGCTCTCCAAGTGTTGAGTCTGTTCCTTCAGCTTTTCGTTCTCTGTCTGCAACCGCTGATGATTTATAGGGCGCGGCATGGGGGGCAGACTAGAGGTGAGCGGGTTCTGTTGGAAAGTTAGTGAGAAAGGTGTGCTACGAGAGTTGCACACACCATGTTCATTGTACTTGAGCTTGGAATTTTGACTGGACGAGACTCAGTTTCAGCTGAAGTAGACCCCAACTTCTTAATCGGGGTCACCATTGGTCGGTATAGAGAAGAGTACACATCCTTAGAGGGGGGGTCGTGTGCGGTTTCACGAGAATTGAGGTTGGGGTCAAGACGGGGACGTTTGAGAGGACGATCGTGCAATGGAGATATTGACCGTGCGCGGGGGGTGAGGTCCAGGAGATCAGAGGGTGACAACGACTTGGTTTGAGCTCTAAGGCGAGCAGGGATGGGGGGGGTCTCTACCAAGCGGCGCTTGGCCGTGTCATGGTCTTTGCGAATAGACTCGTTTACCGCACGGCCCTTGCCCTTCTTATTATCCTTAGGTAGAGCTTCTTCAGCCGAGCGTCCCTTGCCCGTCTCGTCATCTTTGGACAGGGACTCTTCTGTCAACCGCCTCTTCGCCTTGTTCGTATCCGGAGGCACGGATTCTTCTGCTGAACGCTTCTTGCCCTTCTTCGTATTCTTCGCGGTGGTTTCCTCTGCCCATCCCTTGCCCTTCTTAGTATCCTTCGGGGTAGCTTCTTCCGTCAAACGCTTGGGCACCTTTTTCTTCTCCTTGGATGGTTTTGACAAGAGCTGCGCAGAAGATTCGTTGATGTGTGGATCTGGGGAAGTTTCCTCCGTGGTGAGGTCTTCGTTTTGTTCGAATATCCGAAATTCGGCCGATATCTCAGGTGGATGATTCCGTTTGCGCAACAGGGAGTCATACGTCCGCCAATAGTTCAAGGGGATTGTATAACTGTCCTTCTTTGTCGCGCCATGTTCGTCCAGGAATTTCCGACTGAAGGCCAGGTCCTTCCCGTGTTGTCTGGCAAATGCACGGTGACGAGCCAGGCGCGATATACTACAGTTACTGCTGCCGCAGGGCTCGCAACGGGGGTACTTTGCTGGAACGGTGCACTCGATACGCTTGTGTTCACACTCCATACATGGAGTAGCAATATCGAGCAGAAGGTTCCAATGAGGATCTTCTTTGACATAGTCTGCCAGCGGGACGCCGTTAACAAAGACTTTGTGGAAAGACGAGAGTATCGAGGACGAAGGTTCATCGGATTTCGTGGCAGTAGTCCGTTTCTCTTTGGATCCCACTGTACTCGTAGAGTTTGAAGAAGGAGAAGAATGATCGGGTCTTGCATTGTTGCCATGAGAGGGATCTTGTGTAGATGGTGCCATTGTTGCAATTTTGGGGGAAGGAGTTCAAGAAGAAACTTCGTCACGTGATATCAATGAGACACCATGCTGGGCTCAGCGTTTTGACGCCGCCTTGACAATTGATATTGCCGAAGTAAGTATAATTCAACTTTCCAGATATCAGCTTACAATTGCTGGTTAAATCTTTATTAGCTTTGGGAACAAATACAGGATTCAATTGGTGACTGTCTGGAGGGGTTGTACATAGAGCTACAAGAAATAACGCGACGACGGATGTTACAACAGCTGGAAATGTATCTTCATCTGGGTATCAAGCATTACGTGACCAGGGAGCAGGGAAACTGATCTACAAGATGGTTTTACGAGCTCGTTGATTGGCTATATTGTTCCTGGATACGCCGGGTTTCCTGTAGGCACCGGAGCTGTGCAGAGGAAAGTGCAGATAGTATTCGTTTGTGCTCTTCTAATGGAATCGAGTTCATCTGGAGGTTGTAGTGGAGATCCTTCATCTCGGCGAGATCCTTCTCAGTGCGTTCACGAGTAGCGCGAAGTTGTTCCAACTCCGTCTGCATTCTCTGAACCTTCAACCTTAGGGTCTGCAAGAAAACAGAATATGAACAGTGTTCAGTACCTGTTGAAGGATGGAAGGCTTACAATCGAAGGCGGTCCAGGGAGGAGGTTCTGGAGCGTCACATACTCTTGAGAGAGGGTGTTGCCAAGCGCTTGGACTTTTACTTCGCGCTGGAGTCGTTGGACCTCCTCCGTGCGTATGGCGAGTAAGGCTGCTGTGTCTTTGAGGAGTGAGGTCAATTTGGCCAGCTCTCTCTCCGAACTTGACGGCTCGGGACTGCCATTTGGCTTCCGTTGAATACTATCAGATGACGAGGTACTGCCGTTTGTCTCCAGTTGGGGAAGACTTTGGGGGTCCAGGGCTGTACTGTGCTCGCTGGAGGATTGACTTTGGGGGGTAGAAATTGGAGGAGGCGTATTGAACGAACGCGGAATGGAGGGTTTAAATTTCGAACGGCGAGTGGTGGGCACAGGACGAGCTGGTTGGGGATCTTCTACGAGTGTTTCAGGGACGGACAACTTCGTCTTCTTGGATTGTGTTGGCGGAACGTCACTGGGTGATAGCATGCGCTTTTCAGGGCGCGGGCGACTGATTCTCAATCGAAGGGCTTGGTGTTGGTCCGGTGTAGAAGAGCTCAACGACGTGTGGAGTTTCGCCCAATGAGCTTGACTTATGCCATAACTCTTCTCCTGTTCATCGTCACAATGTTTTCGGAAGAACAATCTTGCATGCGCCAGGTCGAGTCCAGCGAATCTGGAGAAGTATAAGTATCTGACCAGTTTTGCGTGGGTACAAGTGGTGTGATGACCACATTGACTACAGATTACGTGGTGCCGACAGGGATGTTTCTTGCAGCTCGTGCATTGTTTGTCCATCGTAATGATTGTGCAGATTTTGTTTTTCTCATGACAATCAAAGCAGGGGAAAGCAGCTTGAAGGTGACTCCAATCAGAGGTTCTTGCATAGGTTCCGAGGTTTCTGCCACTTCGGAATACTTTGTGAAATTCCTCCAGGAGTTGGGCTGATGGGTTTCTTACGGTCGAGGCCATTTTTGAATCTGGGACAGATCGCTTTGGGCTACCGCACCGAGAAGGATCAGCTATTGCAGCATTTCCTTTCAGACTAATCTGGTGAAAGGAACTCTAGGGACTTACCACCTTGGGACATGCTTGTTGATTAGGTGCAGGATGTGCAGGTGATTGATTTACGCGTGGAATTCGCGGTCACATGACTTTGTCACATGATTGCGGCCTAGGTAAACTTGAGGATAAATAAACGTAGCAAAATTCTACCAGGATGTGCGTCAAAATGGTTCAAGCATTTGTCACAATAGGTCCTAATGCTCATGATAAGTGCGAGAAACATATGATTCAGTCAATATTCCGTCATTACATTTAAAAAGGAAAGAGGAGAGCGTGGATTATGTTTGTTTGAGACATTGTAAATTGCACCCCACTGACAATTAAAGAAAATTTAACCTAATTAGTCCGCGAGAGCTTCTTTGAGGAACAAAGCACGGCATTTAGCCAACTTTATTGCATGTTTTACTCTGGTCATATTTGTCTACAGTGAATGGATTGCGGGCCGAAGGTGCTACTGTTGACAGGATGGTAACGCCCAATATAGACACTTTTTCCTCATCAACATCCCTGCTGTGTAGATGATGTCGTACCCTGCCAGGACCTTGACATCACACCAATTTTGGTCCTGAGCTCATTACGAAGACGGTCAAGGTGATGACCGTCCCAGTCGACCCGACGGTCAGCCTGTGGGCGGATGCCTTCGGTCTGCTAATAATCAGATGGTGTTAACAAGGTCGCGCGTGGTTATAAGCTGAACTCACCGTGATTGTAGAAAGGTATTCTGCCTTTTTCACGAAAACCTGTGCGAAGTGTAGCATGTAAATACCGCAATCCGAAGAGTTGGGTTGCGTGGGGACCTAGAGAGCGATGTAAAGAGTGTTCCAAAATCGGGGATTGTTTGAGACTCAGCTGACCGGGATATTTCTACCTCCAGGCTTCGTGGTGTCGTAAAGTTTCTTCTTGTCCCCAGCTTCTAATTGGAGATACTTGCCGAGAATATCGATGACATGTGGGTGCTGTTCACCCAGTGAATCAAACGTGAATATCATGGGCCTAGGATGGAGTGTTTAGCGTTTTTAAAAAAGCAGGGAACCAACACACCGGGAAATAGTTGTGGGTGCAATAGCACGGATGTAATCGTCACTTGGAGCAACGGCTTTCGGAGGTGCGGCAGGGGTGTAAGGGGGTAGTGAAGCTGCATTATGCTCTTCTGCAAGATTCATGAACTGGGGGTCGTCGCTTTCATCCTGGGAAGAGTGGGGGACGATCGGGTGCACCACAGCGGGTTCATTGGCGTTTGGGGAGGGTGGATTATTGACCGTCAATAGTTGCATACGAACGGTCTCCTCAGCATCACTCTCACTAGAGGATTCAACATCTCCAGAAGATGTCAAGATAGTTTCATCAGGCGCATACTGGTAAATTGTGTCTTGAGGAACGTCAGAAGGGAGACTTGTGTTGGGAAGTCTGGGTTCTGAGGAAGGCAGGAGAACCAACCCCGGTTGGTAAACTATGGCGAGATACCAGTGCTGGCTGAATGTGAGGTTTAGTTATGGACGACACTCAGCGATGGAGGGATTAAACTAACTTTTCATTGATTGGCACAATGACGAATTTTTTTTCAAAAATATCGAATTTAGATGTCCATCGTCTGACGTTTTCGTATCCTGCCTGAATACTATTTGAATTCAGAAAGGGGGTCGTAGATTGGCACTGTCCATACCTGTCCTTATTGAGCTTGCTATAGAAGAATGAATTAAAGATATGTATTTGCCGGGCTAACTCGGGGTTTTCCATGGCAAGTTCATGGTGCCATAGCCTGGGGGTGAAGTCAGATATGAGTAATAAGTAATGTGAGAGATTTCCTACTGGAGGCCAAATTCTATTACAGTGTCGTTTAGATACTGGTGTGGAAGCAGTCTTTCATAATCAGCTTTCGTGATGTTCACAGCTCGCGTGCGTTTGTTAGGCTCGTAACTGAGGATACTTCGGAAGATTCAATAAGACCACGCGATCGAGACAGTGTGGGTTGACTGACATTTCTTCCAGGGGTTTGGCGGACTGCTTCTGTTGCTGTCCTGTTGAGCAAAAGGGACATAGGGACCTTTTAGCTGCTCACCTTTCTTTTACGCTGTTGCTCTAGTCAGATGGTCAGGAGGAACGAGGATGGAAGAATTTACTTTTACTGTTCTGGAGTGTCCAGTGTTGTCTTGTACAGTTAAAAGCTGATGTGAATCGCGCTGAGGATCCCCAGTGGCTGTAACCGCCCCAGGGTCTTGGTGTGGATTTTCTGGTTTGTAGGGGGTCAAATGCTGAGCCTGAACGATTTCCACGGGTGGAGGATCCGAGTGGTCTGCAGACTCATTAGATAGGTTATCCTTTTGCTTCCACCAAGGGGAATTTTCACCATGGCGGGGTTGTGTAGGTACGACCTCTTCCTCGCTGCTAATAATGCCCACAGCTTCATCAGGGCAGCAATCTCGCTCATCCTTTTGCTGGGGTGGGTAAGAGGTGGAGGGACAAGGTTCCGCTTCAAGAGTGTTGTCCTGGTGATGATTGATCGATGCTAAAAGGGATTATGAGCGATGTGTCTGCTTGCAGAGGGGAATGGATATGTGCACGCACCAGGATGAATAGTTTTCCAGTGGTTTGGGGGTAGAGCTGCAGCTGCATGAATCATGGCTCTAGTTCCCCATGTCTGACGAAAGATTTCTTGGTGGGTCTGGATTACATTATGAAGTAGAGATCTCGAGGACGGTGTTGACACATACGTTTGAAGTGGATGGGATCGGAGTGGGAGGATTGTCCCATCTACGAGGTATATCAGCAGTGAAACAAAGAGGGGCCCTGAGGGACATACTTGGTTTTGGAGCGCTTTCGTTGTCCGCCAAGAAAAGATTCACGAGGAGGCATCATGTAGAAACTTGGTGATGAATGGGTTAGGAGAAAGTGTCCAGGCGCTCGGGTTCTGATTGTGGTCACATCACGTTCGTTCACCGTTACTCACAAGTCACAGCTGTTGCTTACTTCAATGAGCAGCAAATCAAACCTAGCTTCAGTTCAAACCCTCATTATATGCTAAACTTTCCAGACTCTTATCCATGTCTTTGGTGCGAACTCAAACCAGGGGACGCGTTAGCTCAGCACTTCCCGGGTCCAATGCCGAAAAAACTACAAGACGTTTGAACCCTGTTTGTGATGTTATCGAAATTACGGATTCCGGCAGCGACGATGATAAATGCAGTGTTATTGAACTCACCGACTCTAGCGACAATGAAGATGCACCTACCAAGAAAGATGTCCTCAAAGTCGGGCCTCGGAAGCAACCAGCTCCAACAGCGTATACCAAGAAACATTTCCACAAAGTCAGGCCTCGGAAGCAATCGGCTGCAACTGTGCCTATCAAGAAACAATTCCACAAAGTCAGACCTCGGAAGCGATCAGCTCTAACTTCAACTGATGAAGCGCGACTCAACCCGCCCAAAGGTGATCAACTCATCGGACCACAAGCAGAGGGGAAAACCGTATCAGCAATGCTCGCTCAAGTGTTGGAGCTAGCTCCTGATGTGCAGCCGCGGTTGGCCAGGGACCTAATCCTGCGGCACTTCACTGTTGGTCAGAATCAGGTGCTGGAGGCAGTCATCCAATCGCTGTTCGAGCCCACCTCCGGTCGGAGGGTAGAAAAGCGGAATTCAACAGAGCAAGGTCAGCTTGAGGGAGGGGGGCACAAAAGGCCTCGGCTCGGTGAGGTCGACTATTCCCGGGTAGACCGAAACCAGAAGGGTGGTCCTGATTATCAGGGCTTGTGCATGGTGAGGGCTATCCATTTACGGCTTTGGTGTGTTTGTTGATTCCAGTGTTTTAGGAGCATCTCCTGGTGGATTTTCCGGACGTACCAAGGAATCACATTAGGAAAACACTATTTGCTCATGGCGTTCTGTATGCTCCAACACACCTCTTTCTGCGTGACGAAAAGCGGCGTGGGCCGCCTTTTAAGTATATTCCAAAGGGGACGATCAACACTTCATCTCTCAAGGGGAAAGGTCGGGCGTTGGAGGATGCTGAATTTCAACGGGAGCGCGCTTGGCTATTAGAAAAGCTGAAGGATGAAGACGTCAAGTTGGATAGAAATACGGCTGAGCAATTGGATCAACAGGGGGATATGGAGTGCGGATGCTGCTTCGGGACATACCCTTTTGTATTGATCCTTTTTATTTTCCTGAATCTGCTCCTGATGTTCACATAGGACAAAATGGTGCAATGCCCGGATGCGCATCTGTTCTGCCCAGGATGTGTGAAATCTTACGCAGAAACTTTGCTCGGTGTCCATAACGTTAATATCAACTGCATAGATCAGTCGGGATGTAATCTCGCGTTCCCTGTCTCAATTCTTCAAAAGGTTCTTCCTGGTAATCTCCTGGAGCTGTATGAGCGTGTCAGGCAGCAGAACGAGATTGAAATGGCTGGTCTGAAGGGCCTTGAAGAGTGCCCTTTCTGCGATTTCAAGTGCATTATTGAAGGCCCTCGCGGCAGTCTATTCCACTGTGGTAATATGAAAGCCTGTGGGGCTATCACTTGTCGACAATGTAAGAAAAGGGTAAATTGGATTTGTTGCTCTCAAATACCCCGCCCTGTCTAATCATGCTTGCTAGGATCATCGCCCTAAAAGCTGTAAAGGTGATGTACCCTTTCACTTTGGCCATATTAGGTGTATCGACCTTCTTCTCTACAGAGATGGAAGGAGAGCAATTGCTGGAATGTCACCATGTTATTGAGGAGGCGATGAGCAAGTCCCTCTCAGTTCTGTTTTTCAACTTGTCTGATGATAATTACAGCTCGTGCATTGATGAGAAACTGTCCTCGTTGTGATAAAGGTGGGGAGAGTTCCTCTTCTGTAGACTGCGATTGAGCTTATGACGACCGACTTTTGATAGCTTTCGTTAAGGACGAGGGGGTGAGAACTCGGGATGACAATGTTGTTATGATAAACATTGATTGTTTTTCCCCAGTGTAATAAGATGACCTGTCCTTTTTGCCGCACAATGTCATGTTATGTTTGCCGAAAGGAGGTAACCAGTTATGAGCACTTCAACGTCTGTCTCCTCGTTTCTTTAATTCCGGATTGTATATTCACTCTTTGACAGACTACTGTTCCTGGAGGTCCCGAGTCCAGCGCCGCCACTCAAAAGTGTCCCCTGTGGGAACCTCTTGAACACCGCCACACTCAGGAGGTAAGTCCTTGAATGCAACAACCACGGGTTATATTGAACAGGACTTCTTAGGTAAATGCTGCAGCTGAAAAGGCGATGAATGATTACCGGAGGGTGAATCCAGGAATTCAGATCAAATTGCAACTTGCGAAAAAGCCTAGGATTCCCGTTGGGAGTGCTGATCCACTGGGATATGGTCTGCCTGGAATGCCCAGAAACAACCCGTATGTGTGAATGGCGAGACAACCACAACTTGTGCAAGTCTCGCCAAGAGGGAAATAATTTGTATTGTTACTGCACTCGTCCTGTATTGCCTAGTGATGATGAACTCCTCAATGGAAATTTTGATGGTTTGGTATATTGAGTGACAACGTTCGGGTCAGTTGTTATGCAAACCTACCTGTGTTGTACCTTCATGATGAACAACTTGAGACACGAGAATTGACTGATGGGTACATGTCATGTTGGTACCATTACTGGATTGAACTAAATAGAAATTGGGATTTATTGAAAAATATTCACTGTTTTTTTCTTTGTTTCCAGTTTTTGGTGGTTAGGTCAATTGGAAAACTATTTCCCAGTAAAATTCATAGGGGTTATCTGGAATATTCTTGGGTGAGATATTAAGATATGCGCCTGGGAGGGTGTGCAACAAGCTAATGTTGATATTCAATGATATGGGCTTAAGTGAGGCATGGGAAGGGTTTTATGCACTTCATGCCACATTAATGAAGACTCGCCACTCTGAGAATGCGAACTGTTGCTTGTCTATCCTGAGGAAAACCGTGTTTGGTTTCTAAACAATGTTCCCCCTCACTGGGGCTTGTTGTGAAGGTGTTCACGGTGCTGGTTTACTGTAGGCACAGCTGGTTATATGTCTCACTGGGGACCCATTCACAGTCACGACAATCTGGTCACACAGAATCTTGTTGTGCTACAAATCTGCTATGGAATGCTTATGGTGTAGCCGTTCATATTGAATCCATGACCAGCAATGGCTTTTAGGGAATGCTAGGAACCTGAGACTTAAGTTGTTTCACTACAGCCAACGTTGTATAGCTGTGGGATATGATTATTGCTAAAATGAGTACACAATCTCTCAGGTGGACTGCGAGCCTCCAAGACCCATAACAGAGCTGAGAAGTATGCAGGGACTACGTCATAGAAGTTATGTGAAAAGGTATGACATCATACCTCTGGCCTCAGAGGTTTAACGCCCGTAAATAATGACATCATCCCTCTGGCCTCAGCGTTTTAACGCCCGTGCACTGCCACACTGTGAGTTCACAGTGTGGCGGTGCTCTAGTTGACATTGTGGGAGTGGAATGAGCGCTTAACTTAAAACTTTCTTTGCTTCTCTCTTCCATGTCAATATATCAAATTTTATTACACTAATGGGGGATATCTCAACACTTGGCTTCAATCTCATGCAGAATCTCCTCAAGATGGATGTTTAAGATTCCAAGGGCTTGGACACGACAACAACAACTGGTATTCTAACTGTGCGGCCCAAGGACGACATTCTCGTGGAATACCCTTCAAGTTAATGGTCAACTTTGGGCATCCCAGCCTGTCCGATTCCCCGGTACCATGCTCAGCAATCTCAAACCTGAAGATTGGGAGGTGAATGTGGAGAGGACTGTCTGGAAAGAGGACGGATGGGATAGATTTGGCTTAAAAAGGTATTGCTTGAGTCGTCTGTGCTTGGGTATTGCATTATTTTGGGGTAAATGAGGGCCTGCAAAGCTACTAACCGTTCGTACTCAGCTAGAGGAGTGTGTCGACATCAAACGAGGGGCTGGCTGTTTTGAGAGCCGCGTCAACGTCCGTTTCATCCCGACCGTCCGAACTGAGTACGTCACTTTAGCGCCGGCAGACCTTCTTGCAACGTCCGGCCCGTTTCCATCCTTCCATTCGACGCTGTAGGTTCCTTCAGCCTTCTTGACACCAAGTCCAAGACCCCCCAGCCTTTCTGACCACTAATCTCGTCTTCACACCCAACTCGCGACCTTCTCCCCCATCCACCTTTACCAACAATAATTCCATGGCCCGACGTGCTTTTCACCGCCTACTGCGCCTCCTCTTATCGCGCCTGGCTCGAGTAATCTCGCCTGCCGATGGTCCAGGCTTTCTCTACGCGTTCGTGGACGGGGGTGTGTTGTGGAAAATCGGTATGACGAAGGATTTCCATCGTAGGAGGGCAGAATGGGACAACCAATGTCCGTTTCCGGGGAGGATCTGGATGGCGCCAGTCCCGACGATGACGAGGAGGAGGGCCGGTAAGTCTGAGGTTCTGGGTTTCGACGCAAACCCATCGGTATTGTAGAATCGATCGCGCATCTAGCATTGGAGGACAGCTGCCTGGATCGACCGCGACTCTGGTGCAATAATTGTGAGTGTTTCGCCTGTTCCAATAATTTTGCTAACGTTCCACCTTCGTAAGGTGGACGGCAACACATCGAATTCTTCGTTTTCACTGGGAACGCAGGACAGGTCTGGACGACCATAATCTCCCCAGTCCTCGCGACTGCTGCTGTAGCTTAGATGGTATGTGCGTCTTTTTTCGATAGCCTGTGTCCGCTGAACTAATGATTGTCATAGGTTTTAATCGCACTGTTTCTTGGTTTCTGGGTCTGTTGTTTGTAGTACTATATATTATATGTAGTTTAGTTATGCTTTGTGCACAGACCTCGACCTGCATCTTCCGGGTAGGTGTCCTTTCTATTAATCGTATAGTTTTTGCTGATGATTGCGACAGGCTCTAATTGTATTGTTTTTTTGGTTTCTTTGTATATACTTTGATACTCTTTATAGTCTAGTTGTACTACGTGTTGCTTTATTAGTGTATGCTTTCTGTAGTTTAGTTGTGCTGGCTGTCTGTGGCTTCTGGGGTGGGTTGGTCTGTTGCCAGGGTTGGTCAGGAGGAGTATTGGTTTGGAATTTGGGTTCACCAGCTGAGTTTCTGTTAACTATCAATGCCTGCTATTGATCTGTTACAGGTGGCATTTGCAGATACAACCTCTCAAGTTTCAATGTGGGCAAGTTCAAATGGAAACAAGATGATACTGGGTGGTGGTAATGTTTCCAGGTTTACATTATTGATATGTACCTGTAGATCATGTCACATTTTCCTGTATCTATGTAGGCTGAATTCCATAATGAGACAAACAACGACAAAAAACTAATATGAGTATCCTTGGAATGACAGTTGGTTGTTCACTTCCTCCTAGCTGTGGTTCATTACCAGCTAAGAAGTGAGCAACCAACTCCTTCCATGTTCTTTCCCATGAACCTCAATTCGCCTGAAACCTGCGTCATCCAAGTTCCACTATACTAGTGCAGGTCTATTTAACTGGCCTGCACACCAGCAATACATTGCTTCCATCACATCATTGATGGTCACAACGTGGATGCAAGTCTAAGTTAAATTATGGGAAGGATGTTTCTGAAGCAGGCACATTGTAATGACTACTTGACTACCATGAATCCAAAAATTGGGTCCCTGAGTCAACTTAGATATTTGGAAAAACAGAGTCAACTGCTGCTGCAATCCAGGTTCAACCCTGGTCTGTTAGTCACATTGCCCTGCGCAAAGTTGACGGAAGGCTCTTATCTACCACTGAACAAATGTGACAGTGCCAACTATCAAACGAATTTCCTAATTAGACGTCAAGAATTTGAGCCTCACTCTATACAAGGTGTGTGCAGTCAGGATTTGAACAGGTCATAATGTTGACTACAAGAAACAGTGATGACCACTAGAATAAGTCTTGAATGGTCCTATTAGTGGCGAAAACAAAATAGTAAATGAAAAATGCTTACATGGACCTAATGCCTCAATAGGGATTCGAACCCTAGCCTTCTGTCAACTTGGGCAATACTCAAGGGAAGCAATACCTATCAGACGCTCTACCACTAAGCCATTGAGGGCTGTCAGGAAATCCACTTACCTGTGCCCAATTTGGCTCCATTAAATAAGACTTTCGCGTGTATTACCACCATTTCCAGGAGCACCATGGAAGATTGTACTGAACCTACTTGACTACATACTACAAAGTGAAAGTTGAGTGCCAATATTGCAGGGGTAGGCGCCTAGGATAATAAAAGTGCTCAAAGTACAGCATTAGCTACCACCTCAGTGGGGATTCGAACCCTAACCTCTTGATTACTTTGACATTGCCCTTCCGGGCATTAACCAAACGCTCTACCGCTGAGCTACTGAGGCAATGCAAAAATGCCCAGGTAAAGGTTAAAGATTTGGTCCTCACTCTATGTAATGTGCTTGCAGGAACATGTCATTGTAGTGACTATGGAAGGGCACTAGAGAAAGTGTGGGAATAGTCCCATTGATAGCAAATGGAAAAAAATCCATTAGAATATATGGACTTCTGTGAATATGTATGACATGCTCCGAGTCGGCAATACCACACTATATTTGACAGATGCTCTACCTCTGAGCTATTACAGCTTTGCACTGATGCTGTTTGACTACTTCAACATCAAGGCCGAGTGTCAAAAATGGGACAGCAGGTACGTCAACGACAAAAAATATCTGGAGGACGACAAACCTATGTACGTAAAATACTCTACCATTAAGCCATTAAACCTACTTGACTAGGGTCAAACATTGTGGTCGCATTACTTGCTACGGCTCAATATTAACAGCACCTGGTTTAGTCTATAGCAACATTATAACATGTTTGATTCCTACTAGTTGTAACAAGGCTGACCTGGATACCGGTGAGCACGATTTTTTCAAAAACAGAAGGAAAAAGTTGGGAGTCCAAGTGAGAACCAGAATGAAAATGGAAGTGACGTGTGGTAATTAATTGGAAGACCACTCCTCTCGTACCGTTTTGCCTCTGGAGAGTGCGAGTTGTAATTGTGTTAGCTGCTGGTAAAGTGAAATTCCTCCTATTAGGTAGTGTGATTTCTGTGGCAGGTGATTTTGCCTGATGTGTGTGAAACGAGTGGTCCTTGCAGACTAAGTGTGGGAGGTGCTCAGATAATCAGCACTAACCCCTAAGTGGAACCTGGGACACCTACAGTACATGCCTGATTGAGGAGCTTGAGCGCTTACACGCCCAATTGGGAACCTGGAATGCCTAATTGGAAAGCTTGGGCGCTTATGTACCTAATGGAGAAGCTGGGCGCCCATATGCCTAATTGAGAACTTATAATGCCTAATTTAGAAAATTGGGCGCTTACGGACCTAAATTGAGAAACTTAAGCGCTGTTGAGGAAGTACGGTTTCAAGGCTCTGCTTGTGGCAGTGTTTCCCCCACTAAATGCAAGTCTGGAGTGTCCATGGGATGTGGGCCTTTCTCATCGCAAGAATAAAGTAAGAGGTACATCAGGAGACAATGTATGTCAAACACTCTACCACTGAGTTATTGAGGTATGCGACTGAATGTACTTGACTACATTGAGTGTCAGAGTGCAAAAATATTCCACCAACAATAAACTGACCTAAAGTCTCAACAGGGATTTCAACCCTAGCCTGTTAGTGACGATGAATGTGCGCTACGCTGCTCAGAAGAGAGTTCTATTCTCACATTTGGTCATGGGAATTGCCACGAATAAGCACCACGTTGAGTATGAGAAATAATTATGAGGACTACAGGTGGTTTTGCCATAGTCTTATTGATGGCAACAAAGGAAGTAAGTCTGAAAAAGAAAGTCCCAGCAGGAATGCTACTGGGACTTGACTAGCTCAAAGTTCATTCAAGGAAGGTATTGATAATCACCTTCATAGACATCCTTGTTTGCTCATGGGAATTGCCACCAATGAGCACCTTCGTGGACAGCATGATTCTCATGTTGTTTGCTGATGGAATTACTTTATCTTAGCTCCAACAAGTGCCTGATTTTCCAGAAGAAGTGAATAGGCGCTCAATTCAGGCAACAAGTATCTGCCGGAATTTGTGTGACAGCTGCCCTCTAGTTCTCTCTAGCTGTACCCTAGCTGTCCCCCAGCTGTCCTCTAGCTGTACCCTATAATTTGTCCCCTAGTCTGTCCCCTAGGAGTCTCTGATACCCCTAATGGCGGGTAAACACTAAATGCAGCTTGATTTCTGGAGTCTCCACAGAATGTGGGCCTTTCTCATTGCAATGCATACTAATGGGCTAGCTATACTCCAATGAGTTAAGTCTATCTAGTTGTGTGAGCTGCATATCAGGTATTTTGTACCCCTCTGGTATCAAAACTACTTGAAAAAGGTGGGGGTCTTAGTTGTAGAGGGTACGAGGGGGCCTTTGTCACCTAAGGCACAAATCATAGCAGTGGGAACTTTCCACACCATATTATGTGTTACAAGCTGGGGATTGGTTTTGGTTGCTTTCACTGAGCAATTGGTATATAACCCCTAGAATTGGGGCGACCGAGGGAAGTATAGAATACCCAAATTTTGGGACAGTTTGCTGGCAAGGTGGGAATGGGTGCATCAGATTTAATGTTTAGCTTCATCAGTGGAAGGTGGAGTCACATTTACTGGTCAAAATTTAATGCTTCAGACAGTCAGAAGGTTCAAAGAATTCACCAAGATTCAAGGAGCAAAACCTGGACCAGTTAACTATTGGAGGTCAGGCAACTTCTGGTGCCAGACAACACAGCCACTGGTACTGTGTGATAGTGTTAGGTGGGCCACAAGATCTTGGCATGCAGGGCTTCACAGAATTGCAGGAGTGGAGAGGTGGGGTGGAGTATTGACCTACACTGCTGCACAATGAAAACACCCAGATTAGGATCAGTTTACTATTTGGAGGTCAAGCAACCTCAGAAGTGCCAGAAAGCACAGCCACATGCTACTGGTACTGTGGGGTAGCGTTAGCCACAAGATGTTGGCATGCAGGGATTCAGAAAATTGGTGGAGTATTGACCAGCACTGTTACATAGTACCAACACCCAAATCTGGACCAGTTTACTAGTTGGAGCAAAATCTGGTCCAGTAGGGACCAGTTAACTATTGGAGGTCAGGCAAGTTCTGGTGCCAGACAACACAGAGGAAGACAATGGGATTCAGAATATTGCACTGAAGAAAAAGGTGTTCTATGGACCAGCCCTGCTACACAATACAGACCCAAACCTGGACCAATCAATTGTTGGAGGTCAGGCAACTTCTGGTAGACAACACAGCCACATGCCACTGGTACTGTCTTAGGTGGGCCACAACATCTTGGCATGCAGGGCTTCACAGAATTGCAGTGGAGAGGTGGGGTGGAGTGTTAATCTCGTCTGTCATCGACGGTATGATACCCATGTTTGGTCATGGGAATTACCACCTTTGTCGATGGTAGAATACTCCTATTCGGTCATGGGAATAAAAAAAAGCAATCAGAGACGAAATAGTCCCAGCAGGGATTCGAACCCTGACCTTTTGACAAGATTTACATTCTGTACGGAATCCAATTCACATTTATCAAATGCTCTACCACTGAACCACTGGGACATAACTAAGTCAAAGTTCACTCAAGCAACAAACCTGGACCAATCAATTGTTGGAGGTCAGGCAACTTCTGGTGCCAGGTACACAGCCACACGCTACTGGTAGCGTGTGGCAGTGCCAAGAGCACAGCCACATGCCACTGGTACTGTCTTAGGTGGGCCACAACATCTTGGCATGCAGGGCTTCACAGAATTGCAGTGGTGGAGAGGTGGGGTGGAGTATTGACCAACACTGATGCACAATGAAACCACCCAGATTTGGACCAGTTTATTATTTGGAGGTCAAGCAACCTCAGAAGTGCCAAACAACACAGCCACACGCTACTGGTACTGTGTGGCAGTGCCAGGAACACAGCCACACGCTACTGGTAGCGTGTGGCAGTGCCAAAAGCACAGCCACATGCCACTGGTACTATCTTGGCATGCAGGGCTTCACAGAATTGCAGTAGTGGAGAGGTGAGGTGGAGTATTGACCAACACTACTGCACAATGAAACCACCCAGATTTGGACCAGTTTATTATTTGGAGGTCAAGCAACCTCAGAAGTGCCAAACAACACAGCCACACGCTACTGGTAGCGTGTGGCAGTGCCAAAAGCACAGCCACATGCCACTGGTACTATCTTGGCATGCAGGGCTTCACAGAATTGCAGTAGTGGAGAGGTGAGGTGGAGTATTGACCAACACTACTGCACAATGAAACCCCCCTAAGATTTGGACCAGTTTATTATTTGGAGGTCAAGCAACCTCAGAAGGGCCAGACAACACAGCCACACGCTACTGGTACTGTGTGGCAGTGCCAGGAACACAGCCACACGCTACTGGTAGCGTGTGGCAGTGCCAAAAGCACAGCCACATGCCACTGGTACTATCTTGGCATGCAGGGCTTCACAGAATTGCAGTAGTGGAGAGGTGAGGTGGAGTATTGACCAACACTACTGCACAATGAAACCACCCAGATTTGGACCAGTTTATTATTTGGAGGTCAAGCAACCTCAGAAGTGCCAAACAACACAGCCACACGCTACTGGTAGCGTGTGGCAGTGCCAAAAGCGCAGCCACATGCCACTGGTACTATCTTGGCATGCAGGGCTTCACAGAATTGCAGTAGTGGAGAGGTGAGGTGGAGTATTGACCAACACTACTGCACAATGAAACCCCCCTAAGATTTGGACCAGTTTATTATTTGGAGGTCAAGCAACCTCAGAAGGGCCAGACAACACAGGTAGCGTGTGGCAGTGCCAAGAACACAGCCACAGAAGGCCGTCAGTGGGTGACAGAACAGTGCAGTGAAGGAGGGGTGGAGCAGAGCTCCACCCCTCCTTCATGTCATGCCAATTGCAGTCATGTGGTACCAAGTTGGTTGGAATGTCCCAGGGTATGGATCTTTGAAAGAAAAATAACAAAACACTGCCTAACCCCGAAATCAGATCATGGCTATTTTAAGTTGCTGGGGTGGAAAAAGATGCTTGCAGTAACTGCCAGAGTCACAAAAACAGTCCCAATTGAGGTGTAGAAAGGCTGTTGCAATTATTGAGTGGTATGAGTGACCCCCCCTAACATAGGCTGAGGGTGACCCCCCTAAAAGAAAAAGTCGTTGAATCCTCTCGGCCAAATACAAAAAAAGTAAGGTATTTGGAGTGGAAATATGTATACAAAAGGGTTTTGGAATGTGATGAAAATTCATGGTTATAAACGACATATAAGTTTCGGGAAGATAACACTAATATTTTTGTTGGAATAGTAGTAGGACCCTCCTCATTCATTGCGCCTTTCTCGGCG